CTAGCCTCCCCAACACTATAGCCTCCCCAACACTAGCCTCCCCAAAACTAGCCTTCCAACACTAGCCTCCCACAAGCTCCCACTAGCTCCCCAACACTAGCCTCCCCAACACTAGCCTCCCCAACACTAGCTCCCCAACACTAGCCTCCCAAACTAGCCTCCCCAACACTAGCCTATTCCCAACACTAGCCTCCCCAACACTAGCCTCCCCAACACTAGCCTCCCCAACACTAGCCTCCCCACCCCAACATAGCCTCCCCAACACTAGCCTCCCCAACACTAGCCTCCCCAACACTAGCCTCCCCAACACTAGCCTCCCCAACACTAGCCTCCCCAACACTAGCCTCCCCAACACTAGCCTCCCCAACACTAGCCTCCCCAACACTAGCCTCCCCAACACTAGCCTCCCAACACTAGCCTCCCCAACACTAGCCTCCCCAACACTAGCCTCCCCAACACTAGCCTCCCCAACACTAGCCTCCCCAACACTAGCCTCCCCAACACTAGCCTCCCCAACACTAGCCTCCCCAACACTAGCCTCCAACACTAGCCCCAACACTAGCCTCCCCAACACTAGCCTCCCCAACACTAGCCTCCCCAACACTAGCCTCCCCAACACTATCCTCCCCAACACTACCTCCCCAACACTAGTCTCCCACAACACTAGCCTCCCCAACACTAGCCTCCCCAACACTAGCCTCCCCAACACTAGCCTCCCCAACACTAGCCTCCCAACACTAGCTCCAACACTAGCCTCCCCAACACTAGCCTCCCCAACACTAGCCTCCCCAAACTAGCCTCCCCAACACTAGCCTCCCAACATAGCCTCCCCAACACTAGCCTCCCAACACTAGCCTCCCAACACTAGCTCCCCAACACTAGCCTCCCAACACAGCTCAAACTAGCTCCCCAACACTAGCCCCCCCAACACTAGCTCCCCAACACTAGCCTCCCCAACACTAAGCCTCCCAACACTAGCCTCCCCAACACTAGCCTCCCCAACACTAGCCTCCCCAACACTAGCCCCCCAACATCCTCCCCAACACTAGCCTCCCCAACACTAGCCTCCCAACACTAGCCTCCCAATACTAGCTCCCCAACACTAGCCTCCCAACACTAGCCTCCCCAACTCTAGCCTCCCCAACACTAGCCTCCCCAACATTAGCCTCCCCAACACTAGCCTCCCAACACTAGCCTCCAATACTAGCCTCCCCAACACTAGCCTCCCAACACTAGCCTCCTAATACTAGCCTCCCCAACACTAGCCTCCCAACACTAGCCTCCTAATACTAGCCTCCCCAACACTAGCCTCCCAACACTAGCCTCCCCAACACTAGCCTCCCCAGCACTAGCCTCCCCAACACTAGCCTCCCCAACACTAGCCTCCCCAACACTAGCCTCCCCAACACTAGCCTCCCAACACTAGTCTCCCCAACACTAGCCTCCCCAACACTAGCCTCTTCAACACTAGCCTCCCCAACACTAGCCTCCCAGCACTAGCCTCCTAATACTAGCCTCCCCAACACTAGCCTCCCAACACTAGCCTCCCCAACACTAGCCTCCCCAACACTAGCCTCCCCAACACTAGCCTCCCCAACACTAGCCTCCCAATCACTAGCCTCCTAATACTAGCCTCCCAACACTAGCCTCCCAACACTACCCTCCAAACTAGCCTCCCCAACGCATAGCCTCCCCAACACTAGCCTCCCCAACACTAGCCTACCCCCCAACACTAGCCTCCCAACACTAGCCTCCTAATACTAGCCTCCCCAAACTAGCCTCCCAACACTAGCCTCCCCAACACTACCTCCCCAACACTAGCCTCCCCACTACCACTAGCCTCCCCAACACTAGCCTCCCCAACACTAGCCTCCCCAACACTAGCCTCCGAACACTAGCCCCCCTAATACTAGCCTCCCCAACACTAGCCTCCCAACACTAGCCTCCTCAATACTAGCCTCCCCAACACTAGCCTCCCAACACTAGCCTCCTAATACTAGCCTCCCCAACACTAACCTCCCAACACTAGCCTCCTAATACTACTAGCCTCCCCAACACTAGCCTCCCAACACTAGCCTCCCCAACACTAGCCTCCCCAACACTAGCCTCCCCAACACTAGCCTCCCAAACAACTAGCCTCCCCAACACTAGCCTCCCCAACACTAGCCTCCCCAACACTAGCCTCCCCAAACACTAGCCTCCCCAACACTAGCCTCCCCAACACTAGCGTCCCCAACATTAGCCTCCCCAACACTAGCGTCCCCAACACTAGCCTCCCCAACACTAGCGTCCCCAACACTAGCCTCCCCAACACTAACCTTCCAACACTAGTCTCCCCAACACTAGCCTCCCCAACACTAGCCTCCCCAACACTAGCCTCCCCAACACTAGCCTCCCAATACTAGCCTCCCAACACTAGCCTCCTAATACTAGCTCCCCAACACTAGCCTCCCAACACTAGCCTCCCCAACTCTAGCCTCCCCAACACTAGCCTCCCCAACATTAGCCTCCCCAACACTAGCCTCCCAACACTAGCCTCCAAATACTAGCCTCCCCAACACTAGCCTCCCAACACAAGCCTCCTAATACTAGCCTCCCCAACACTAGCCTCCCAACACTAGCCTCCTAATACTAGCCTCCCCAACACTAGCCTCCCAACACTAGCCTCCCCAACACTAGCCTCCCCAGCACTAGCCTCCCCAACACTAGCCTCCCCAACACTAGCCTCCCCAACACTAGCCTCCCCAACACTAGCCTCCCAACACTAGTCTCCCCAACACTAGCCTCCCCAACACTAGCCTCTTCAACACTAGCCTCCCCAACACTAGCCTCCCAGAACTAGCCTCCTAATACTAGCCTCCCCAACACTAGCCTCCCAACACTAGCCTCCCCAACACTAGCCTCCCCAACACTAGCCTCCCCAACACTAGCCTCCCCAACACTAGCCTCCCAACACTAGCCTCCTAATACTAGCCTCCCAACACTAGCCTCCCAACACTACCCTCCTAATACTAGCCTCCCCAACGCTAGCCTCCCCAACACTAGCCTCCCCAACACTAGCCTCCCCAACACTAGCCTCCCAACACTAGCCTCCTAATACTAGCCTCCCCAAACTAGCCTCCCAACACTAGCCTCCCCAACACTAGCCTCCCCAACACTAGCCTCCCCAACACTAGCCTCCCCAACACTAGCCTCCGAACACTAGCCTCCTAATACTAGCCTCCCCAACACTAGCCTCCCAACACTAGCCTCCTAATACTAGCCTCCCCAACACTAGCCTCCCAACACTAGCCTCCTAATACTAGCCTCCCCAACACTAGCCTCCCAACACTAGCCTCCTAATACAGCCTCCCAACCTAGCCTCCAACACTAGCCTCCCAACACTAGCCTCCCCAACACTAGCCTCCCCAACACTAGCCTCCAACACTAGCCTCCCCAACACTAGCCTCCCAACACTAGCCTCCCCAACACTAGCCTCCCCAACCACCTAACTAGCCCCAACACTAGCTCCAACACTAACCTCCCCAACACTAGCCTCCAAACCACTAGCCTCCCCAACACTAGCCTCCCAACACTACTCTAAACTAGCCTCCCCAACACTAGCCTCCAACACTACTAAGCCTCCAAACTAGCCTCCCAACACTAGCCTCCCAACACTAGCCTCCCCAACACTAGCCTCCCAACACTACCTCCCCAACACTAGCCTCCCCAACACTAGCCTCCAACACTAGCCTCCCAACACTAGCCTCCCCAACACTAGCCTCACAAGCCTACCCTCCAACATAGCCTCCCCAACACTAGCCTCCCCAACACTAGCCTCCCAACACTAACCTCCCCAACACTAGCCTCCCAACACTAGCCTCCTATACTAGCCTCCCAACACTACCCTCCAACACTAGCCCTACCCCCAACACTAGCCTCCCCAACACTAGCCTCCCCAACACACCTAATGCCTCCCTCCAACACTAGCCTCCCAACACTAGCCTCCTAATACTAGCCTCCCCAACCTAGCCTCCCACACTACCCTCCAAACTAGCCTCCCAACACTAGCCTCCAACACTAGCCTCTAATACTAGCCTCCCCAACACTAGCCTCCCAACACTAGCCTCCAATACTAGCCTCCCCAACACTAGCCTCCAACACTAGCCTCCTCAAACTACTAGCCTCCCCCAACACTAGCCTCCCAACACTAGCCTCCTAATACTAGCCTCCCCAACACTAGCCTTCCAACACTAGCCCCCCTAATTACTAGCCTCCCCAACACTAGCCTCCCAACACTACCTCCCAATACTAGCCTCCCCAACACTAGCCTCCAACACTAGCCTCCCCAACACTAGCCTCCCTAACACTAGCCTCCCCAACACTAGCCTCCCCAACAGTAGCCTCCCCAACACTAGCCTCCCCAACACTAGCCCTCCAACACTAGCCTCCCCAACACCCCATAGCCTCCCAACACTAGCCTCCCCAACACTAGCCTCTCAACACTAACCTCCCCAACACTAGCCTCTCAACACTAGTCTCCCCAACACTTGCCTCCTAACACTAGCCTCCCCAACACTAGCCTCCTTAACACTAGCCTCCCCAACACTAGCCTCCCATCACTAGCCTCCCCAACACTAGCCTCCCCAACACTAGCCTCCTAACACTAGCCTCCCCAACACTAACCTCCCAACACTAGCCTCCCCAACACTAGCCTCCCCAACACTAGCCTCTCAACACTAGCCTCCCCAACACTAGCCTCCCCAACACTAGCCTCCCAACAGTAGCCTCCTCAACACTAGCCTCCCCAACACTAGCCTCCCCAACACTAGCCTCCCCATCACTAGCCTCTCAACACTAGCCTCCCCAACACTAACCTCCCCAACACTAGCCTCCCAACACTAGCCTCCTCAACACTAGCCTCCCCAACACTAGCCTCCCCAACACTAGCATACCCAACACTAGCCTCCCCAACACTAGCCTCCCAAACACCAGCCTCTCAACACTAGCCTCCCCAACAATGTGAGGTATGCTTCCCTGCCTCCAGCAGTGGGCAGTGGTCACGCGACCTTCAGTGTGGTTGTAGACGCAGTTATAAGAACACTTCACACACTCCCCATCATGGCTAAGGTAACATTCATGGCTATACACATGGTGGGTTTTTTACACAAATTTACAGGTCTTCATGAAGTGTTCTCTTAAATCAGCTCATTTACAGGCAAAGATCAGTTATATTACCTACATAAGTTCACTTTACATTAAAGATCTGTTATATAACCTAAGATCGTTTCCGAGCCCAGTAACTGCTACTTATATTGAGATATACACACATATCTCCGTCTATACACATAAAAAAATACACAAGTATCGATAAATATTCACCGAGACATAAATAGCATTTTATACGTATGTATTGATGTATACCCATTAGTGTGCACTATGAAACACCTCTCAGTGTACATACACTGACATATACTGACATCTCAGTGTACTTACACTGACATATACTGACATCTTGGTGTACATACACTGACATATACTGACATCTCAGTGTACATACACTGACATATACTGACATCTTGGTGTACATACACTGACATATACTCACATCTCAGTGTACTTACACTGACATATACTCACATCTCAGTGTACATACACTGACATATACTCACATCTCAGTGTACATACACTGACATATACTGACATCTCGGTGTACATACACTGACATATATCCATCTTGTGTACATTACACTGACATATACTGACATCTCGGTGTACATACACTGAATATACTGACATCTCGGTGTACATACATTGACATATATGACATCTCAGTGTACTTACACTGACATATATGACATCTTGGTGTACATACACTGACATATACTACATACTCGAGTTACTCACTACCAGCTGTACATCATACTCACATCTCAGTGTACATACCCTGACATTACTGACATCTCTGGTTGTACATACACTGACATATACTGACATCTTGTGTACATTACTACATGACATTACTCACTGACATACTCGTGTACATACACTGACATTACTCACATCTAAGTGTACTACACTGACATTACTGACATCTCAGTGTACAATTACGACACTGACATATACTTACATCTCAGAGTACAATCACGACATTACTCGCATCTCAGTGTACTTACACTGACATTATCACTGACATCTCAGTGTAACCATACCTGACATATACTGCATCTCAGTGTACTTACATGACATTACTCACATCTCAGTTACATACACTGACATACTACATTCAGTGTACATACACTGACATATACTCACATCTCAGTGACTATTACATGACATATACTGACATTCGTGACACTACATGACATTACGTCACATACTCAGAGTTACATATACACTGACATTACTCACATCTCATGTACTACACTGTACATATACTCGCATCTCAGTGTACTTACACTGACATACTACTGACATCCAGTGTACATACACTGACATATACTCTGCATCTCAGTGTACTTACATGACATATTACTGACATCTCAGTGTACATACACTGACATATACTGACATCTCAGTGTACATTACACTGACTATACTGACATCTCAGTGATACTACTGACATATACTGACACTCAGTGTACATTACACTACATATCATGACATTACGTGTCATACTACTGACAATTACTGTCATACTGCATGACCGTTACTCACTACTGCATACATTACTCACTACTCAGTACGTATACTATCACTATTTTCATGACCATTACTCATACTAATACCATTACTCATATCATGACATTTTACTACTGATATATACCAGTATATACTACTATGACATATATACTATGCATGACAGTTACATCATACTATACATTAGTCACTACTGCATGACCAGTTACGTCACTACTACATGACCAGTTACGTCACTACTACATGACCAGTTACGTCACTACTGCATGACCAGTTACGTCACTACTACATGACCAGTTACGTCACTACTGCATGACCAGTTACGTCACTACTACATGACCAGTTACGTCACTACTACATGACCAAGTTACTCACTACTACATGAACAGTTACGTCATACTCATGACCAGTTACGTCACTATACATGACCAGTTACATCACTACTACATGACCAGTTACGTCACTACTACATGACAGTTACATCACTACTACATGACCAGTTACATCACTACCTACATGACCAGTTACGTCAATACTTACATGACAGTTACGTCACTACTACATGAACAGTTACTCACTTAACAATAACTATGACATTTACGTCAATACTATCATGACCAGTTTACGTCACTAACTACATGACAGTTACATCACTAACTACATGAAACAGTTACGTCACTACTACATGACCAGTATACGTCACTACTACATGACCAGTTCGTCACTACTACATGACCAGTTAGTCCTCTACTGACAAGACCACTTTACATCATCTATCATGACCAGTTACGTCACTACTACATGACCACTTACGTCACTAACTGCATACAGTTACGTCACTACTACATGACCAGTTACGTCACTCTCATGAACAGTTCGTCACTATGCATGACCAGTACGTCACTACTACATGACCAGTTAAAGTCACTACTACATGACAGTTACTCACTACTACATGACCAGTTACGTCACTACTTCATGACCAGTTCGTCATCTCCTACATGAACCTTGATGTTACGTCACTACTACATGAACATGTTCGTCACTACTACATGACCAGTTACTGTCACTATACATGACCGTTACACACTATGCATATGAAATTACTCACTATGCATGATCAGTTACATCACTACTGCATGACCAATTACGTCACTACTGCATGACCAGTTACATCGCTACTGCATGACCAATTACGTCACTACTGCATGGCCAGTTACGTCACTACTGCATAACCAGTTACATCGCTACTGCATGACCAGTTACATCACTACTACATGACCAATTACGTCACTACTGCATGACCAGTTACATCACTACTGCATGACCAGTTACATCACTACTACATGACCAATTACGTCACTACTGCATGACTAATTACGTCACTACTACATGACCAGTTACGTCACTACTACATGACCAGTTACGTCACTACTGCATGACCAGTTACATCACTACTGCATGACCAGTTACGTCACTACTACATGACCAATTACGTCACTACTGCATGACCAGTTACATCACTACTGCATGACCAGTTACATCACTACTACATGACCAATTACGTCACTACTGCATGACCAGTTACATCACTACTGCATGACCAATTACGTCACTACTGCATGACCAGTTACATCACTACTGCATGACCAGTTACATCACTACTACATGACCAATTACGTCACTACTGCATGACCAATTACGTCACTACTGCATGACCAGTTACATCACTACTGCATGACCAATTACGTCACTACTACATGACCAATTACGTCACTACTGCATGACCAGTTACATCACTACTGCATGACCAATTACGTCACTACTGCATGACCAGTTACATCACTACTGCATGACCAGTTACATCACTACTGCATGACCAATTACGTCACTACTACATGACCAATTACGTCACTACTGCATGACCAGTTACATCACTACTGCATGACCAATTACGTCACTACTGCATGACCAGTTACATCACTACTGCATGACCAATTACGTCACTACTACATGACCAATTACGTCACTACTACATGACCAGTTACATCACTACTGCATGACCAGTTACATCACTACTGCATGACCAGTTACATCACTACTGCATGACCAGTTACATCACTACTGCATGACCAGTTACATCACTACTGCATGACCAGTTACATAACTACTGCATGACCAGTTACATCACTACTGCATGACCAGTTACATCACTACTGCATGACCAGTTACATCACTACTGCATGACCAGTTACATCACTACTGCATGACCAGTTACATCACTACTGCATGACCAGTTACATCACTACTGCATGACCATTACATCACTACTGCATGACCAGTTACATCACTACTGCATGACAGTTAACATCACTACTGCATGACCAGTTACATCACTACTGCATGACCAGTTACATCACTACTGCATGACCAGTTACATCACTACTGCATGACCAGTTACGTCACTACTGCATGACCAGTTACATCACTACTGCATGACCAGTTACATCACTACTGCATGACCAGTAACTAATGTTTAGCAATAAGAACGTTTAAGGGCCATAAACTGAACAGGAGAATACGTCTCAACTTTATTAATGATAAAATACATAATGGTAGTAATATTGAGGAAACATAAACTCAGATACCACTTTAAGTACACCAACACATCCTACATTTATTTATCTTTAACAATGTAAAAAAAAACTTGAGAAATAAATAAAAACATTGCAGTATCAGAGAAACACTAGTTCCGATCTGACCTTGAGCACAAGTAGCATCTCAGTGAATCTGATCTTACATTTCCTTGCCTTCACTCCTGCAAAATCATCTATTACATCATCAAAATCAATTATTTTCCCTATATAGGCCTATTTGTACTCTGTAATCCTATAATAGGCTATGTAGAAACGAAGGATTTTTCTCTTGTGTTGCTGCAGCACTCTCTTGGGCACTAGTGTTACCTTCTTCAGAAGCTCTATGGTGTCACCCCCTAAATGGTGCCACCCAGGGCGCCCCCTGCCCCCCCCCTTACCACCCCACTGACACAATCCTTAAGAATGGCGCATCCAGCCAAGCTAGATATTGTACCCGCCATCCGAGGACATACAGTGGTGTGGATGCCTTTAAGCTATACATACATGTCCCCTCAAGGAAGGTTCCTTGATGTTGGTGAGGGGCTCTTGATTTATGGAATTGGATCTGTGCTCCAGTTCCCCGAATTAAGCCTGAATGCCTTCCACATTCCCCCCCCCCAGGCGCTGTATAATCCTCCGGGTTTAGCGCTTCCCCCTTGATTATAATAATAATAATCATATACATACATGTATATATACATGTATATATACAATATTACGTATCACACTTTGCTTTATTTAACGTTTGATATTACCTAAAGTGTTGATGCAAACAACACTGCTGTGGAACAAGACGTAAGAAGGAAGTTGATTGTAGTTTATTTTGTTTGTCATTGTTCTTGTGAGGTCTACTAGCTTATTCTTTTTTTGGTTGTGACGGGTCGACGACCCGGCTTGGGAAGTGTTATCTAGGTGTCTGATTTTAAGATCAAAGTCAGGAGACGCTGACGATTAACACTATCACCATGACCTTTATGAGGTGACCTTCATGAAGTGACCTTTATGAGGTGGCCTTCATGCGGTGACCTTTATGAGGTGACCTTTATGAGGTGACCTTTATGAGGTGACCTTCATGAGGTGGCCTTTATGAGGTGGCCTTCATGCGGTGACCTTCATGAGGTGGCCTTCATGAAGTGGCCTTTATGAGGTGGCCTTCATGCGGTGACCTTTATGAGGTGACCTTTATGAGGTGACCTTCATGAAGTGACCTTTATGAGGTGGCCTTCATGAGGTGGCCTTCATGAGGTGACCTTCATGAGGTGACCTTCATGAGGTGACCTTCATGAGGTGACCATGAAGTGACTGAATCACTGACCAGACACTCATAGCGACAGGTTAATATCACTAGAAGTTATCGGGAATTGTATTTCTTTCAGTGTATATATGCTGAGAGTTAATCCCTTATTTAAGTGTTAAATTATTCTTGACTGTTGGTAAACAGACTGTAAGCAGCCTTAATGATACTGGGTGGTTGACAGACTTTTAAAACCCAGTTAGCCAGCTCAAATACTTAAAAAATAAGGTATGGTAATTACTGTGCATGTTAATCTACCCGCCCACGTATACATATGTATCCACCCACCCACGCACTCTATTTAATTAAAAACTCTTTAAAAAAATTTCATAGGGCTCTATCTGTGTATTATTCCTTTAGACTTTTGTGGTTAATAAAAATTAAAACAGCAGTTTAAAAAAACCATTTTCTCAGTGTAATATTTTCTTCCCAGAAAAAGATGTGGGGTGGTCGTGAGTTCTGGGGATTTGGATCAGAACACGACCCGGACTGGATCCTCACTGAGAAACAAAAGAAAATCCAAGCTGACCTCATTGAGGTGTGCAGAGTTAAGATCAGACCCCAGGCAGTAAGTTGATGCTCAGTACCCAGTGTAAAACACGTCTATACACAACATCAGGGCTTTATCCAAGGTCAAATCAGCAAAATATACCATTTTTTGTGCCCATCTGTGTAACTTCAAGATAATTGTAAAAAGGATTTTTTTTTGTAAAATATATTCACTAGATAAAAAAACACTAACAGCTACTGTCCTTCCACCATCTTTATCAGGTCTACCGAACAGCTAAAAAAACTACTTAATTATATAGCATATTCCGATGAATAAACAGAATACTGGATGGGAACTCGAACCGTTGTTCTTGCATGTAGCAGTCCCAACGTTATACCACTCAACCACAAAACTTAAACAGGATGATTTTTACGACTGTGGCTTGTTTGTATCAGCGGCAGCAACTGTAACCTCACTGTGTCGTCTCATACCACCAGCACCACTCTCTGGAAACCCTGAAGCTCAGAAAGCACTTTAGTTCCTAACATTCCTTTGTCTATGTGTCTTTAACTTCAGCTGTGTCCTCCCTGAATGTTAAAGATACAACTGTGTTTCTTACCACCAGATCATCTGTGACCGCAAATATGAGTTTCCAAGAGAATCTTTAAACGCCTTGGCTGAGATAGGTCTTCTTGGTCTGCTGGTGCCTGAGGAACTGGGAGGTCTGGGGGAGAACCACGTATGTTGTTCCATGGTCTGTGAGACCTTAGCTCGCTATGGCTGCCCATCTACCGCCATGGTCTACAGTAAGTGCTCTAATGGTTTGCAGTAAGCACTACAACCTTAATCTATTATACTTAGCTCGGTATACTTGTCTATGTGCAAGAAAGGTATAAAATACCGACAACTTGTCAGACACTGCAACATCATGGAATCTTGGTTTAGAGGACATCTACAAGCTGCTACAACTAACTCATCCTTTTGGGTAGGACCTACTTCCACTGGGGAATCCCACCTACCAGTGACTATGCCCTCGTCTGCTACACGTCCTTATCCACTGACGCATATATAACCGCCAGTCTTCTTGCCTTTGCTCCAAATTCTCCTCCACCACGATGCTGTGAACACTAACTCCAAGGCTGAGGGACTGATTACCTCATCTTTTGTATATAGTTCTACTGTCTTCTAATTATGTCCTAGAATCTGTATTGATAAAGCCACTGGATGGCGAAACGTCTACAATAAAGATATCCAGATGTTGCACATGTGTCTTAACTTTCATTGTTGTCTATCCACCGCTATAGTCTGAGACCTCAGCTGCTTATTCTTCCCATCCAGTAGCAATACACCATGATTTCATCAGCTTACAATTGTTTGGTCGTATAGTCAAATACTACATGACTATACAACTATATGACTGCCGGGTAAATAAGATAAACTAACTCCATTTCTCTGAACCATCAGCAATGCATATAGGAGCTGTTGCCAATCTGCTGTTCCGTCATCATAACAGTCGCCGCATCAAGGAGCTGCTGTCTCGCCTGGACAAGGACAAACTGGTTGGCACACTCTCCTACTCCGATCCTGTTACAGGTGAGACTCGCTCTTGATAGATTCTTTTATCCATGATTAAAAAAAACACTATTAACAAAGATTTAAGAGCAATTGCGCCACACCACAGGGAATCTTCAACTGAAAGTTCCTCTCTGGAATCCAGAGTTCTTCCTTAATATTTGAAGGTACATTAGAGTTCGCCGATGGCTAGTTTGATCCACTATGTACCTTTATCTAACGTAGCTAGAGATATAATAATAATACTAATAATAATAATCTTTATTTCTACAAGTACATGTACAAATATACAGACCATAGCTGACATCAATGACACTACTGTATACAAAGCTGCTTGTTATGCTGAGCATTTCGGGCAAATTGGGTTAGTTTTGTCCCAGGATGCGACCCACACCAGCCGACTAACACCCAGGTACCTATTTTTACTGATAGGAACATAGATAATCGGTGTAAGGAAACACACCCAATGTTTCTACCCTCGCGGGGAATCGAACCCGGACCATCGCCTTGTGAAGCAAAAGCTTAAGCCCCCAGGCAGTCTGATACATTTATTTTTATTTTGAACATACTGGCTGTTTTGCCAAGTTATATTTCCAGACTGGTGCATACATTATGATCACATGGTATCCTAACACGCTATAATATCACTACATTATTACAAAGTACAGACACTATACTGCCTGACTCTAAATCTCAAGTATCGATAATACGTTTCCCCTGAATCTCTTCATAGATAAGACTAGACACTTCACCAGCATCTTCCCAAAACCCGCTACTTCACTAAAACCCGTATTAGAACCTTTCCCTATACCTTATATCCACCCAAGATTGATACATATTATTCCACCAACACTGCTCCAACATTTCTACCTAAAAAAAAAAAAAACTCTTCTTTGAATAAATTTTTCATACCACAATGCTGTCCTCTATATTTTGCAGGATTTATTCTCTGCATAAAATTCTCACCACAATGGCGTGCTAAAGTGCTTCTATCTTTCAGGTGGTCACTTTTGGTTTCCAATGTCTTCCAAGGTGCAGTACGTTGATAAAGAAACGATCCAACTCCTTAAATTTGGATCGTGGTGCACCAGTGCTGGAAATGCTGACTGGTACGTTGTACAGACCATCAGTCCTGACTACGGCGGTGATTACTCCAATCTTTCCTGCTTCCTCATCTATAAGGTAAGTGAAAAGAATATATCTGGTTATTGTAAGGAAGGAGCTAGGAAAAATGTAGTTATGGAGGGAAAATTCTAAAATCCAGAGATAGGTCAACTTGGCAACCATGTTCCAGGTCGACAAACTTAGCAACCATGCTCCAGATCAACGAACTTAACAACAATGCTCCAGACCCATGCTCCAGACCCATGCTCCAGATTCATGCTCCAGACCCATGCTCCAGATATATGCTCTAGACCCGTGGTCCAGACCCATGCTCCAGATCCATGCTCCAGACCCATGCTCCAGACCCATACTCCAGATCCATGCTCCAGACCCATGCTCCAGACCCATGCTCCAGACCCATGCTCCAGACCCATGCTCCAGACCCATGCTCCAGATATATGCTCTAGACCCATGCTCCAGACCCATGCTCCAGATACATGCTCCAGACCCATGCTCCAGATCCATGCTCCAGACCCATGCTCCAGATATATGCTTTAGACCCATGCTCCAGATCCATGCTCCAGATCCATGCTCCAGATTCATGCTCCAGATCCATGCTCCAGACCCATGCTACAGACCCATGCTACAGACCCATGCTCTAGGTCCATGCTCCAGATCCATGCCCCAGACCCATGCTTTAGATCCATGCTCCAGATCCATGCTCAAGACCAATGCTTCAGACCCATGCTCCAGAGCTATGCTCCAGACCCATGCTTCAGGTCCATGCTCCATATCCATGCTCCAGACTCATGCGCCAGATCCATGCTCCAGATCCATGCTCCAGACACATGCTCAAGACCCATGCTCCAGACCCATGCTCCAGATCCATGCTCAAGACCCATGCTCCAGACCCATGCTCCAGAGCTATGCTCCAGACCCATGCTCCAGACCCATATTCCAGATCCATGCTCCAGACTCATGCTCCAGAACCATGCTCCATAACCATGCTCCAGAACCATGTTCCAGACCCATGCTCCAGAATCATGCTCCAGAATCATGATCCAGAGCTATGCTCCAGACCCATGCTCCAGACCCATGCTCCAGACCCATGCTCCAGATCCATGCTCCAGATCCATGCTCCAGAACCATGCTGCAGAAACATGTTCCAGAACCATGTTCTAGAACCATGCTCCAGAACCATGCTCCAGAACCATGCTCCAGAACCATGCTCCAGAACCATGCTCCAGAACCATGCTCCAGAAATATGTTCCAGAACCATGGTCCAGAACCATGCTCCAGAACCATGCTCCAGAACCATGCTCCAGAAATATGTTCCAGAACCATGGTCCAGAACCATGCTCCAGAACCATGCTGCAGAACCATGCTCCAGAACCATGCTCCAGAACCATGCTCCAGAACCATGCTCCACATCAAACTACTTAACCAGTTCCTAACAGATCAAACAGTTCCTAATATAACTTTATATACATCAACAACCTGACATGTTACCCCACCTAACTTAAAATATTTTAACCCAGTAGACCTTAACACTCTAGTCTGTTATTCCTTAATCTCACCGAATACTTTAACAAATATATACACTGCAACAATATATACACTGCAACAATATATACACTGCAACAATATATACACTGCAACAATATATACACTGCAACAATATATACACTGCAACAATATATACACTGCAACAATATATACACTGCAACAATATATACACTGCAACAATATATACACTGCAACAATATATACACTGCAACAATATATACACTGCAACAATATATACACTGCAACAATATATACACTGCAACAATATATACACTGCAACAATATATACACTGCAACAATATATACACTGCAACAATATATACACTGCAACAATATATACACTGCAACAATAGCAATAAAACACTCAACCCTCTGTTTAAAAAACATTCCGCCCTAAAAAAATTATTAGGTAAAATTTATTTTTTTTTGTCTAATAAGAAAAAAAACATCATCGAATTCTGTGGTGGACTACAAAGGAAAATATTAAGTAATAAGCTGCTGAATGTAGTACGTGGGAACAACAGATGGCAGAGGACTGGTAAGTCCGCACTCAAGATATCTACTGAGAACTCTCTACCACTGTATTATGTACTATCTTGTATTATAAACACTGCTCGAGTCAAAAACAGAAAAGCAAAAAAAAAAAAAAAAAAAATCTCTCCGTACCAGACCCTGGTACCTGAGTGTAAACAGTGAATAATGTGGCGACTCATGTTCCAAAAATATCACGAATTTTACTGGACATGAACTGGATGGAAGACGTGAGCTACAACTATCTAAATTAAATTAGTACTGTTACTGTCTTAACTATTGGTGTTAATCCACTGTCACTCACAGTGTTGTGTACCAGTGGTTCTACTCCTGGTTACCACCAGTTCTGTTATAACTATCATAACCCTTTACATCTATTGGTTGTCTCGTTGTCAACTGACTGTCCTGGTACAATTACTGAACATACAGGAATCCGATGACTTTAGATTACTTCACCTGTTATATGTACATGGCAATTTTCTCGGTTTTGTTGTGGCTTTACTGCGGGTTATTTGTATATTGTTCCAGTCACGGTATTATACCTTTTTGTTATTTATTAGTTGACTTAAGTAGCAAGTGTCCAAGGCAACATCTCGCTACCCTATACCTTGAAGGACATTGTAACTCGTTATCACGTTTTCTGATATATATAACAATGTGGGCTTACTCAGCAATCTTAAGTGATAGATTTAGGCTGATCATGTGGGTCCTGGAGGCTCCGGCAACTCCTCCCATATGTCTAGTTGAATCTCATACTTGCAGAGTGTTTTCTCAATTGAATGACTGCAGTGTCTTCGAACTTTCAATATTAACTGGTAGTTTATTCCGTTCTGCTATAATTGTTTGTAAAAAAAAACTTTGCATACGTTCCTGTTGCATTTTCTGCCTTGCAGTTTTGTTCCATTGTTCCCAGTTATGGACTCATTCAGCACTTCAAAGACTTCATCATGTTAGAGTTTAAGATGGTTTACAGATACCAACATTTCAGGAAATTATGGGAATGACTTCATCTAATATGTTGCCACAGGATGAAGTACGTGCCAACACGGACGACTGGCAGGCACTGGGCATGCACGGCAACATGTCTGGACCACTGGTAATTGAGGGCAAGTTTAACCTGGACAGAATGATTGGACCACCTGGTGACGGCCGCATGGTAGGCAGTAGTAAAAAAATATTTATTCTTTGATAATGACCTCCACCACTCCTTGTGCTTAATGACACACACCGAGTAATAGCCTCACGTAAAGTAAATAATGTAAATCTGTGTTCTACTGTAAACATATTTCTGGCACAGAGTAACGATGAGACTGGAGACCCATACTTCCTGATCTGCACCGCTTCTGTGTGGAACGGTATCTCTCTGGCCTGCCTTGACGTGGCTAAGATGCATGTTACCCGCAAAACTCATGCTGACATGGGCATGCGTGTGTGTGACTACCCTACTATACAGGTCAGTGTGTGTGTGTGTGTGTGTGCTCACCTAATTGTGATTTCAGGGGTCTAGACTCAGCTCTTGAACCCCGCCTCTTCAATGACCGCTACTGGGTGCTCTCTCTCCCTGCTCCATGAGCTTTATCATACCTCGTCTTAAAACTATGTATGGTTCCTGCCTCCACTACATCACTTGCCAGACTGTTCCACTTCCTAACAACTCTGTGACTGAAGAAATACTTCGTAACATCCCTTTGGCTCATCTGAGTCTTCAACTTCCAATTGTGTCCCCTTGTTTCTGTGTCCCATCTCTGGAACATCCTGTCTCTGTCCCCTTTATCTATTCCACGCAGTATTTTGTATGTCGTTATCATGTCTCCCCTGACATGTGTGTGTGTGTGTTTGTGTGTGTGTGTGTGTGTGTGTGTGTGTGTGTGTGTGTACTCACCTAGTTGAGGTTGTAGGGGTCGTGTCCAAGCTCCTGACCCCGCCTCTTCACTGGTCGCTACTAGATCACTCTCCCTGAACCGTGTGCTTTATCATACCTCTGTGTGTGTGTGTGTGTGTGTGTGTGTGTGTGTGTGTGTGTGTGTGTGTGTGTGTGTGTGTGTGTGTGTGTGTGTGTGTGTGTGCGTGCGTCTGTCTGTATGTATGTCGTGTGCCAAATACATTAAAGCAAACAATGTGTATACAATAAGAGACTGATTGGTTGGTTAATGAAGTTTAATACTTATCGATTACACGAGTCATTAAGGTTGCACGTAGTTCACCACCAATCAAGATACTTTAGTCCCTAAAATAAGAACACACATACACTGAGAAACGTACACCTCACGGCGTATATATTATTGAAGACAAACACCTATCCGTGTCTACTCCCTGTGTCTGTCAGTAATATATATCAAAGCTCCTAATCAAAATCTTCAAAAGTCACATTGTACTGTACATACGCTGAAAGGGTTACATAATAAATTCGTTGCCACCTTCAGGATTACTTCGGAGACTGTACAGCGGACACCAACTCCTCACGAGCGTTCACCTTCATGATGTGTCAAGCCTTGGATACCAACACCAACAACAATGACTGGTCACTTTACACTGACCTGAAGTTCCAAGCAAGGTAACAATATTAACACAGATCTAAAATAGTTTTCCCATTTATTAATCTTAACCTATATAATTTTAACCTATATATTACTCATGTTAATTACGAATGTATTTAATCATCCACTAAAAATATTTTATGATGGAGGATTTTTTGGTATTTTAGAATTCAATTATATTTGTCAATTCAAAGAAATTTACATATTCAAATAATTTGTGTACACTGTATTGCTATTTCCTCTTACCCTGTACTATAGTTTATCTGTTTTAGCACTAAATGCTAATGTTTGCCCTAAATACGTGGTTCTGTCTGTGGCCCGGTGGCCTGGTGGCTAAAGCTCCCGCTTCACACACGGAGGGGCCGGCCCGGGTTCGATTCCCGGCGGGTGGAAACATTCGACACGTTTCCTTACACCTGTTGTCCTGTTCACCTAGCAGCAAATAGGTACCTGGGTGTTAGTCGACTGGTGTGGGTCGCATCCTGGGGGACAAGATTAAGGACCCCAATGGAAATAAGTTAGACAGTCCTCGATGACGCACTGACTTTCTTGGGTTATCCTGGGTGGCTAACCCTCAGGGGTTAAAAATCCGAACGAAATCTTATCTTATCTTATGACAGAATGATAACTAGATTGACTGGTGTCAGTCTCATAATAGAATGATGACAGAGGGATTGACTGGTGTCAGTCTCATAATAGACCGAAACCGAGGGACTGACTGGTGTCAGTCTCATAATAGAACGATGACAGAGGGATTGACTGGTGTCAGTCTCATAATAGAACGATGACAGAGGGATTGACTGGTGTCAGTCTCATAATAGAATGATGACAGAGGGATTGACTGGTGTCAGTCTCATAATAGAACGATGACAGAGGGATTGACTGGTGTCAGTCTCATAATAGAATGATGACAGAGGGATTGACTGGTGTCAGTCTCATAATAGAACGATGACAGAGGGATTGACTGGTGTCAGTCTCATAATAGAATGATGACAGAGGGATTGACTGGTGTCAGTCTCATAATAGAATGATGACAGAGGGATTGACTGGTGTCAGTCTCATAATAGAATGATGACATAGGGATTGACTGGTGTCAGTCTCATAATAAAACGAAACCGAGGGACTGACTGGTGTCAGTCTCATAATAGACCGAAACCGAGGGACTGACTGGTGTCAGTCTCATAATAGAACGATGACAGAGGGACTGACTGGTGTCAGTCTCATAATAGAACGATGACAGAGGGACTGACTGGTGTCAGTCTCATAATAGAACGATGACAGAGGGACTGACTGGTGTCAGTCTCATAATAGAACGATGACAGAGGGACTGACTGGTGTCAGTCTCATAATAGAATGATGACCGAGGGACTGACTGGTGTCAGTCTCATAATAGACCGAAACCGAGGGACTGACTGGTGTCAGTCTCATAATAGAATGATGAGAGAGAGACTGACTGGTGTCAGTCTCATAATAGAATGATGACCGAGGGACTGACTGGTGTCAGTCTCCTTCAGGACACACTCCTTTGCCAACTTCTCAATAACAGAAGAATAAAAGCCACAATACCTTAGCTAAAACAATTCACAATTTGCATATTCCAATAATTTGTTTGTGTATTCCCCTCAAGGAAGGTTCCTTGATCTTGGTGAGAGGCTCTTGATCTAATGAATTGGATCTGTCCTCTGAATTAAGCCTGAATACTTTCTACACCCCCCTCCCCACAGGTGCTGCATAATCCTACGGGTTTAGCGCTCCCCCTTCATTACAGTAATAATAATTTGTGTATACATTGTATACACAAAGTGAGAAAATAGAGGAATCACGGAAAACGGGGAGAGGGAAAAGGAAGTTCTAGAAGAGGTCAGGGAACGATAAGCCATTTTACTTTTCCTCACCTGGTTTTGACTTGACAATGGCCAAGGGCGGTCTAAAACGTCCTCTTGAATTCCTTTCATGACAGTGGGTATTTTGTGAGAGATCAACAGAAAATTCATCGCTGGGCTACTGACACAGTCATGTTGAACAACACTTGTACTTGTAATAACAAATATCTGTTGCTTTGCAGAGCGCAATTATTCCACTGGCTTTTCCAAACTAAGTTTATTGCTGCCAAGAATGTGTCTACAGTTTCTGACACGATGTTGCATGCCTGTGGTGGAACAGGCTACAAGGTGAGTCTTGTAAGATAGGATGTTGCATGCCTGTGGTGGAACAGGCTACAAGGTGAGTCTTGTAAGATAGGATGTTGCTTGCCTGTGGTGGAACAGGATATATGGCGAATCTTTTACAATCGGATTTTGAGTGTGTGTGTGTGTGTGTGTGTGTGTGTGTGTGTGTGTGTGTGTGTGTGTGTGTGTGTGTGTGTGTGTGTTACTGAATAAGGATATACTTTAAGGTAAATCTTATATGATGGAAGTTGTTGCTATAATAGAACAATATGTAAATTAAGACTCGCGTCATGGAATTTTGCCTACCTCTTGCACTAATAATTATTACTGTAGACTGTAATCTGACTACAACATTAACAGGGATAAGTTAAAAAGGATATTGAATATTTTTCACCTGGTCTATGTTTCTGGAAGTAATAAAATTTCGATTTTGTTTAAATTGTTTCTCAACCAGTGTGCATTATTAATGGTCTTCTCTCCAAATTTCATGACCTTGCAATTGTTGGGATTGAATTCTACCAGTAATTTGTTGTGAATAAATTCCAAGAATAACTTCGTGGAACTGAATCCCAACCTTATTCTATTGAATCCCAGTCTTATTCTATTGAATCCCAGTCTTATTCTATGGAATCCCAGTCTTATTCTATGGAATCCAAGTCTTATTCTGTTGAATCTCAATACTATTCTATTTAATCCCAGTCTTATTCTATTGAATCCCAGTCTTATTCTATTGAATCCCAGTCTTATTCTATTGAATCCCAGTCTTATTCTATGGAATCCAAGTCTTATTCTGTTGAATCTCAATACTATTCTATTTAATCCCAGTCTTATTCTCCAACACTTCGTGGTTGTAATAAATTTGTGGTTGCAACAGATCGAGCTCGGTCTGGAGCGACTCTTGAGGGATGCTAAAGCAGGCTGGGTGATGGGGCCTTCCAATGAGGTGATAAGACAAATTGTGGGCAAGTTTGTTTTATTAGGCCCAGAGTCCATTGACTTTTGGTGAGTGTACATTTACTTTTTTTACCCATAAACCTAAATTTAACGACACCGAATTTTTGTAATAATACACTAATATATGTAAACAGTGTTACTATTTGTATTATGCCCTAAACTGGTAACATATTATTTTTGGCATTTTAAACTAATCTAGTTATGAAGTATAATGTGATGTTAATATTTATTATTTAAGACTATTTCACAAACACATGATAAGGTTTAATATATGACCGCCTCTTGTTCATAGCTGTTATAATATTAACGGAGTGGGAGGTAGTCTACCTGTGGGAAATATATTATATTGTCAATGTTTTCCCAGGAATGCAGTTAGAAGCCTGAGTAGATCTATAACCCACTATGATAACATGAACGTAGATAAGTATGTTTATGGAGCAACGTGCAATGTGAACACTGTCTGATGTTGTAGTGGCCAGGCTTAGGCTTGGTTACAAGTACTTCTGGCAATTTGGGAGACACACAGATGATGATCAAACTAAATGTAGATTATGTGATCAGGCGTATGGTCACTGTCTTGAACACTATGTGCTTAATTGTCCACTTATTGAGGAATACAGAGACAGACAGTATAATAACCTATGTGACATGTCAAGATATCTTATTAATGAAAATAAGATACCAGATATACTAAGCAAATTTCCTAAATTTGCTTGTAACAGATAAGTGAACTATAGATATGTAGATATAAATCCATATGTATTCCTGTTAACCCTTTGGGGCCTAGTTCCTAGGCTTTTTGTGTATCCATATGCTCTCGCGCTACCGTCCACAGGATGGATATGGGGTGCACAATAAACTAGCCACTTCGGTGGCAAAATCTAAAAAATCTAAAAACCCACTTCAGCTGTTGAGAAATGTATTTAAGATTTGATATTCACTTTTTTAAATTAAAATTTTCTTAACAGACTTAATATTATTATGGTAGAGGTAATTACCAGAGCACTTGCAGGGATGATGATGATAATCATGATGATTGAGGGTTCTTGATTTAAGGAAGCATTGTCCACTAATACACGGAAATGTTATCACACGTAGGGACCAACATCCCAACGAGCGAATGATTCACCACGAGCTGCAGAAGATGAACCTCAGTGAGAAGAAGAAGCTGGTCAAGGCTCTGCTGGAGGATGTACAGGCGGAGGAGAGGGGCGCTGAGGCCAAGCATCCATTCCAGGAAACTGACTTTGAAAACCCCTTCAACACGTGTCCACCTGCAGTTAATGACCAGGTATTGCTAGCTCTCTCTTAATACAGTTAGTGGTAACTTCGTAACACATTGTATGTAAATGATAGATATATAGATAGATAGATATTTTATTTTAGGGGGGTGGGGGGTTGGTGGAGATCAGGGATGGCTGAAGCCACTGCATGTATGAACATTGCAGGTCATCAAGACGAATGATGGAGTGAATCATGCCCCAGCACTCAAGCCTGACCAGTGGGTACCTCTCACCCTCCAGTCTAACAAACTTGTTAGTGAGAAGATGGGAGCTTTTGTCTTCTCTCTGCCTAACAAGACTGACCACTCAGGATGTTTACCAGGGCAGTATGTTGCTGTAAGTAATTGTTCAGTGTAGTCTTACTGCTACAACAATATTTTTAACTTTAATAAACACTTACGATTTAAAGTAAGCAATAATGTAAAGTACAGAGAGTGAATTATTGCAACACAGATAAGTTCACTGCATCACAAGTTTTGATATAGGTTAAATTAATCTGTTATATATTTTTAACGTAACACAAACCATCAAACTAAAAAGTTAACGTGTTATTTTACATAGAAATCAAATTAACTTGATATTTTCACTTATCAAACATTAATATTATTTTTTTTTTATTTGTAGTGATAATATCTATAAATTATCAGTATCAGTAAATTTTTAACTACTCAGATAGCTTACAGTAAAATATTTGGCATTTAAAAAAATTGGTGGAGGGGTAAGCCAGCGGAAGGTCTTGGTCAGATGACCAAAAGCTCCAGCTGTAGGTCATCATATGACTTAAGACCTGCGTCAGGAAACACTTGTCCTGTTTCCTGACGAATCTTACCTAGCCTAACCTTTGGTATTTAAAGATTTGTTTTACGATTTTACTTTAATGGTATGTGTGTAAGTTATGGTTCCCTAGCCTTCTTCTTCTCCATTACTTTAATGGTATGTGTGTAAGTTATGGTTCCCTAGCCGCCTTCTTCTCCATTACTTTAATGGTATGTGTGTAAGTTATGGTTCCCTAGCCTTCTTCTCCATTACTTTAATGGCATGTGTGTAAGTTATAGTTCCCTAGCCTTCTTCTTCTCCATTACTTTAATGGTATGTGTGTAAGTTATGGTTCCCTAGCCTTCTTCTTCTCCATTACTTTAATGGTATGTGTGTAAGTTATGGTTCACTAGCCTTCTTCTTCTCCATTACTTTAATGGTATGTGTGTAAGTTATGGTTCCCTAGCCTTCTTCTTCTCCATTACTTTAATGGTATGTGTGTAAGTTATGGTTCCCTAGCCTTCTTCTTCTCCATTACTGTAATGGTATGTGTGTAACTTATGGTTCTAGTTTTCACATCAATGTGACAAACTACAGGAGGCAGCACCATGGAACTGGTATAAATATTTTGAGACAGTTGGGCAATATTTGGGAATCTTTATAATGGAAAAATTTCGCCATAGTGACTTTTACCTCAAAAAATAATTTGAATAAATATACGTCAGTTTTAGAAAGAAAATTTAAATTTCTAATAAATGTTATAATAGGCTTCGAAAAAGCAAAACAATTCGGAAATCTGCTGAGTGTGGTCCTATCTTGTTCTTATTGAGACATTTATTGTAAACTTGTGGCTGGTAGTTTAACAATTATTATATGGAATTTGACTTAAGTGTTTGTGACTCCCTTCAAGGGAGATAGATGCCTTGATGCTACTCAACGATGCCTTGATGCTACTCAACGACTTTAATATAAAGGAATTGAAGCTGCCTCTACTTCCTTGGATCAAACCTGATTGCCTCCCACTCCTCACACACTGCATTATCTCTACTGCCTTAGTGTCCTCATAACAATATAATAATAACAGTGATAATAATATGAAGATGTATATGCCAGCCTATGTAAGTACTTTAGGCCTTAAAATAAATTCAAATTATAGTTCCTTTGTATTGATACCTATTGTTAAAATCTTAACTCCCCCAAAGGCTAAAGTCACAGTCCAGGGCAAGGAACATCTGCGTTACTTTTCACCCGTGTCTTGTCCAGATGACTTCGGTCACATTGACCTGGTGTTGAGGTTTGAGACTCAGGGAGTCATGTCCTGCTACTTCAAGACTCTCAGGCCAGGTGAGTCAAGTAAACAACTCTCACTCAACTATCTTTGGTATGAAACCTGTCTTCTGATATCTTTCAAGATAGTGTCATGGTAACAGTATTGCTTGGTACCAGTGATACCTTGGTACCAGTAATACCTTGGTACCCGGGGTGACGGGTACCTACTAGTTTAGAAATAAAATATGATAATGTAGTCATCAGTGTGATTTGTGTGTGTGTGTGTGTGTGTGTGTGTGTGTGTGTACTCACCTAATTGTACTAACCTAATTGTGGTTGCAGGGGTTGAGACTCAGCTCCTGGCCCCGCCTCTTCACTGATCGCTACTAGGTCCTCTCTGCTTCCTGAGCTTTGTCATACCTTGTGTGTGTGTGTGTGTGTGTGTGTGTGTGTGTGTGTGTGTGTGTGTGTGTGTGTGTGTTGTGTGTGTGTGTGTGTGTGTGTGTGTGTGTGTGTGTGAAGGCGATTGAAAAGGTCCCCATATTAGACAGTATTCAATTTTGGATAAGCTTTCCCAATTCCATTTGCCAAAAAAATCATTGCAGTGTTATACGTTCTATGGTCCTTCAGATCGTTGCATTTTTTTAAGTACAGTAATTCTAAACCACAATTATCATACCTAGTTTAACATATGTGAAAATTGCCAAGGATATCCCAAAAAAGTCAAAGTGACTTGTTTCCATGTTCCAAATTCTACCAAATCTTTCTCAGATGGTAGGAAATACGTACTGTCTATTGCTTTTTTCAGGGGATAAAGTAGACTTCCAGGGACCATGTGGAGGGTTCGAATATGAAGCCAACCAGCTGGATGAGCTCACTCTGCTGGCGTCTGGAGGTGGTGTCACTCCAGCTGTACAACTCATCCGCTCCATCCTCACTAACAACCAGGATAAAACAAAGATCACACTATTATACTTCTCTGAAAATTATAATGAAATCCTCTTCCGTGAGGAGCTTGACCAGTACGCAGGTAATCACGATTTATTTTTCTTGTCCCCCCTAAACAAATGATTGATACTGGAAATTTAGCCACAAATACAGAAGTTTAGCCAAATATGTCGGAAGTTTAGTCAAAGATATTTGAAGTTTAACCAAAGATGTTGGAAGTTTGGCCAAAGATACCGAAACTTTAGTAACATCTGCATATTTCTATTCTGAAGACGTTTTACCGACCTGTGGCTTTATCAGGATTACGGTCATCAACATTCCGACTAGGCTGAGGGACTGATTCCCCCGTCTTCTACTGTCTCTAGTTTCAACACCTTCAATCTTTGTACTAAATTGATAAAGCCACTGGCTGGCGAAAACGCCTTTAGAATGAAGAGACGCAGTGTCTTATTTATCACACTGAAAGATGTTCACCTACAGAGAGTGAGAAGCGGCTGCGACTGGTGTACACCCTGGGTGAGGCTCCAGAAAACTGGGACGGTGAGGAGGGTTTCATAGACACACATATGATTGCCAGACATATTGGCAAGCCTAATGGAATACGACATAAGGTGAGAGCACTTGAAGCTTTTGTTTGGATGTAGCTGATCTACACTATTTTACATATTTACTTGAATTATACGAGATCCTAACATTCTTTAGTTGCAAATTACAATACTCACAACAATATATTTCACGATATTGTTAAACTCTCGTTTTAAGATGAATCATTGTGCAAAGGGATGTGATTGGTGTAGCACGAAGGTGAAAAACGATCTGAGTAGGAGTGGTCAGTGTGAGTAGGCTGGGTGGTGCTAGAACACTGGTAATAAAAAAAATATGTTTTGCAAGAATGTTGTGTGGAAGTCCATGACTCCTAAAAATGATGAGTGTGCTAAGATGGTGTAGTCATGTTGAAGGTATATGACTGAATAGTGAAGAGAGTAAGTCTGAGGACATGAAGAGTGTGTGAGACAGTGTGGCACAGTGTGGCGCAGTGTGGAGCAGTGTGGCACAGTGTGGCGGTGTGGCGCAGTGTGGCTCAGTGTGGCAGTGTGTAGTGTGGCACAGTGTGGAGCAGTGTGGCACAGTGTGGCGGTGTGGCGCAGTGTGGCTCAGTGTGGCAGTGTGTAGTGTGGCACAGTGTGGAGCAGTGTGGCACAGTGTCTTGTTTGTCAACTGTACTATGAGGAAGTGAATCCTCGTAAAGTAACCAAACTGAAGCAAAGTTCATTATCAGTTAAAACCGCAATCATTGTAATGTTCCCTGAAAATCAGTAAACTTGTGTTTGGTGTTTGTGGATGATTCAAACACTGGATACATCAAATATAACCCCGTTATTCTGTACACTCTATTTACCAAAAAAATAATAACAAATACTTAAGCAAATATAACTGCTTATAGTGATTAAGCTTCTCTACTTCAAATATTTCCTCACACGGGTCATAATCATATAATTAACCCGTTAATTATGTAATATATTTGTACCAACTTCTTGCACGCTAATAGTTAATTATGTTTCTACTGGGCAGATTGTGATGTGTGGTGGACCAAGTATGAGTATGTCGTGTCTACACTCCCTCCGTTCACTTGGCTTCCCCTCTTCATGTATCTTCATTTACGGCCAGTGTGGTTCAGAGTTAGTGAAGGCAGTGTATGGTAAAAATGTCCAGCTGGCCACTCACCGCTGTGACAATGTTGTCTAGAGGAGAGTCATGCCACTGGCACCATCAGCACCTGCTTGGATTATCATGGGTAATTTATACTATGTATGATAATTGTACTGATGTGTACCTGTACCTAAAGAAACTTATTAATCTTATTTGTTAAATGATAAATTAAAATGTAAAATAATCTGATTTGTACTTCAGTACAAATCAGCTGACCCATCAAGGCGAAAATCAACCATTTGGGTTATTTTAGGTACGATACAAGTTGTCCCATCAACAATTTGTTGAACTTAGGGAGTCATATAAACAGACAATACAATAAGTGTCAGGGGCCCGAGACTGTTCAACTGCCTCTCAGCATGCATAAGGGGGATTACCAATAGACCCCTGGCTGTCTTCAAGCTGGCACTAGACAAGCACCTAAAGTCGATACCTGACCAGCCAGGCTGTGTATTAAAGAGTCAGAAAAACTATATAATGTATATTTCATAGTCAGAAACACTGTGTGATGTATATTACACGGTCAAATACTACATGATTTATATTAGAGTCAGAAACACTATACAATGTATATTACAGAAACAATATATGATGATACTAATTGACAAGAAAATAATATACATCTAATACTTGGAGAGAATTTCGGGGGTCAACGCCCCCTGAGCCCGGTCTGTGACCAGGCCTCATGGTGGATCACGGCCTGATCAACCAGGCTGTTACTGCTGGCCGCACGTAATCTAACTCACGAACCACAGTCAGGCTGGTCAGGTACTGACTTTAGGTGCTTGTCTAGTGCCAGCTTGAAGACAGCCAGGGGTCTATTGGTAATCCCCCCTGTTGTATGGTGGGAGGCAGTCGAACAGTCTTGGGCCCCTGACACTTACTGTGTTGTCTTTTATCGTGCTAGTGACACCCCTGCTTTTCATTGGGGGGATGTTGCATTGTCTACCGAGTCTTTTGCTTTCGTAAGGAGTGATTTTCGTGTGCAAGTTTGGTATTAGTCCCTGTAGGATTTTCCAGATGTATATAATCCTGTATCTCTCCCACCTGCGGTCTAGGGAGTACAGGTTGAGGAACTTCAAGCGTTCCCAGTAACTAAGGTGTTTTATCTCCGTTATGCGAACCGTGAAGGTTCTCTGTACATTTTCTAGGTCAGCAATTTCACCTGCCTTGAAAGGTGCTGTTAGTGTGCAGCAATATTCCAGCCTAGATAGAACAAGTGACCTGAAGAGTGTCATCATGGGCTTGGCCTCCCTAGTTTTGAAGGTTCTCATTATCCATCCTGTCATTTTTCTAGCAGATGCGATTGATACAATGTTATGGTCCTTGAAGGTGAGATCCTCCGACATGATCACTCCCAGGTCTTTGACATTAGTTTTTCGCTCTATTGTGCGGTTGGAATTTGTTTTATACCCTGATGAAGTTTTAATTTCCTCATGTTTTCCATATCGGAGTAATTGAAATTTCTCATCATTGAACTTCATATTGTTTTCTGCTGCCCATTTAAAGATTTAGTAGATGTCCAACTGGAGTCTTGCAGTGTCTTCATTGGAGGACACTGTCATGGCAATTCGGGTGTCATCTGCAAAAGAAGACACGGCGCTTGGCTATGTCCGATATGAGGATGAGGAACAAGATGGGAGCGAGTACTGTGCCTTGTGGAACAGAGCTTTTCACCGTAGCCGCCTCAGACTTGACTCTGTTGACTACTACTCTTTCTGTTCTGACATATCAATTTCGTAGTAATGTCCTAGGATGTACCATTACTAAGATTATTATAATACTAATAATTTTTACAAGCACGTGATACGTAATTGTTAGTAGTGATTTTTTTTAATCCACAATATTGGGAGTTTTGCTGACCTTTAGAAGAGTGCCAAAAATTGTGTATGGCACTGTAATAGAGAGTGCCTGCACAGTGACACAGTAAAGATGTGTAGTGATGTGAACTGTGTCACCTGTGTCATGATGCTCTCGTGTAATATCTTTCCAATAAAATGTTTTTACTGCTGTGCCTGTCTTTATTATCATACATCCGGTACATGGGAGTACACACAAGCACCAGGAATTATATTGAAATACATGGAGATACCCTGAAGTACATGGAGATACGTTGAAGTACATGGAGATACGTTGAAGTACATGGAGATACGTTGAAGTACGTGGGGATACATTGAAGTACATGGGGATACATTGAAGTACATGGGGATACATTGAAGTACATGAGGATACGTTGAAGTACATGAGGATACGTTGAAGTACATGAGGATACATTGAAGTACATGAGGATACGTTGAAGTACATGAGGATACATTGAAGTACATGAGGATACGTTGAAGTACATGGGGATACATTGAAGTACATGGGGATACATTGAAGTACATGGGGATACATTGAAGTACATGGGGATACACTGAAGTACATGGGGATACATTGAAGTACATGGGGATACATTGAAGTACATGGGGATACACTGAAGTACATGGGATACATTGAAGTACATGGGGATACATTGAAGTACATGGGGATACATTGAAGTACATGGGGATACATTGAAGTACATGGGGATACATTGAAGTACATGGGGATACATTGAAGTACATGGGGATACATTGAAGTACATGGGGATACATTGAAGTACATGGGGATACATTGAAGTACATGGGGATACATTGAAGTACATGAGGATACGTTGAAGTACATGGGGATACATTGAAGTACATGGGGATACATTGAAGTACATGGGGATACATTGAAGTACATGGGGATACATTGAAGTACATGGGGATACATTGAAGTACATGGGGATACATTGAAGTACGTGGGGATACATTGAAGTACATGGGGATACATTGAAGTACATGGGGATACATTGAAGTACATGGGGATACATTGAAGTACATGGGGATATATTGAAGTACATGGGGATACATTGAAGTACATGGGGATACATTGAAGTACATGGGGATACATTGAAGTACGTGGGGATACACTGAAGTACATGGGGATACATTGAAGTACATGGGGATACATTGAAGTACATGGGGATACATTGAAGTACGTGGGGATACATTGAAGTACGTGGGGATACATTGAAGTACATGGGGATACATTGAAGTACGTGGGGATACATTGAAGTACATGGGGATACACTGAAGTACATGGGGATACATTGAAGTACGTGGGGATACATTGAAGTACATGGGGATACACTGAAGTACATGGGGATACATTGAAGTACATGAGGATACGTTGAAGTACATGGGGATACATTGAAGTACATGAGGATACGTTGAAGTACATGGGGATACATTGAAGTACATGGGGATACATTGAAGTACATGAGGATACGTTGAAGTACATGGGGATACACTGAAGTACATGGGGATACATTGAAGTACATGGGGATACGTTGAAGTACATGGGGATACATTGAAGTACGTGGGGATACATTGAAGTACATGGGGATACACTGAAGTACATGGGGATATATTGAAGTACATGAGGATACGTTGAAGTACATGGGGATACATTGAAGTACATGGGGATACATTGAAGTACATGAGGATACGTTGAAGTACATGGGGATACATTGAAGTACATGGGGATACATTGAAGTACATGGGGATACATTGAAGTACGTGGGGATACATTGAAGTACATGGGGATACACTGAAGTACATGGGGATATATTGAAGTACATGGGGATACATTGAAGTACATGGGGATACATTGAAGTACATGGGGATACATTGAAGTACGTGGGGATACATTGAAGTACATGGGGATACACTGAAGTACATGGGGATATATTGAAGTACGTGGGGATACATTGAAGTACATGGGGATACATTGAAGTACGTGGGGATACATTGAAGTACATGGGGATACATTGAAGTACATGGGGATACATTGAAGTACATGGGGATACATTGAAGTACATGGGGATACATTGAAGTACATGGGGATACATTGAAGTACATGGGGATACCCTGAAGTACATGGGGATATATTGAAAAATATGGGAGCACAAAGAAGCATATAAAAATACTTGGAAATACAAGAGTAGAGTACATGGAAATACATGAGCACATGAGAGTACATGGAAATACATGAGTACATTGAAATACATGAGTACATGGAAATACATGAGTACATGAGAGTACATGGAAATACATGAGTACATGAGAGTACATGGAAATAAATGAGTACATTCAAATTCAAATTCAAATTCAAAGTTTATTCTCTATAAGGATTACAATGCTGAGTTTACAGAATTTGGTTATTGTGTGGTTTACATGTAGTAAAATAATGATTACAGAGTGTACCACTAGAACACCTAGCATGGCTAGGTATTACAGAGTGTACCACTAGAACACCTAGCATGGCTAGGTATTACAGAGTGTACCACTAGAACACCTAGCATGGCTAGGTATTACAGAGTGTACCACTAGAACACCTAGCATGGCTAGGCATTTCGGGCAGACTTAGTTTAATTCTTTATTTTAAAATATTACAAATTATGAGGTAAGTTGGTATTATGGCTAAGTGACTAAATACTAGTTTGTGAGTTTAGCAATGTGAATGCTTTTGTTTTGGCACAGTACATAGTTTCAGTATTGGAGTATCATAGGATTCATTATTTTAAGATTGAGATTAATATTTCTGTTTATGGTCAAATGAGTGAGTGAGTGTAAGTGTGAACCACCAGGTGGTATTCGTGGAGTTAGTTGACGGGGTGTATCAGGGAGATAAGATGTTTTCTAATGGTAGTTTTGAAGGTGATGAATGTGTCTGCAGTTCTAGAGTTCTCAGGTAAGGTGTTCCAGATTTTAGGGCCTTTGACACACATTGAATTTTTGTAAAGGTTTAGTCGGACACGGGGAATGTCGTAGAGATGTTTGTGTCTGGTGTTATGCCTGTGGGTTCTGTCACAACTATCAAGAAAGCGTTTTAGGTCAAGGTTGATATTGGAGTTTAAGGTCCTGTAGATGTAGATTGCACAGTAGTAAGTGTGGATGTACTGAACAGGGAGTAAGTTTAGGTCTATGAAGAGTGGGGGGGGGGTTGCCAGGGATGGGATTTGGTGATTATTCTTACTGCAGCTTTTTGTTGGGTTATTATTGGCTTTAGGTGTGTTGCTGCAGTTGATCCCCAAGCACAAATAGCATAGGTGAGGTATGGATAAATAAGTGAGTGGTATAGTGTGAGAAGGGCATTTTGCGGCACGTAGTATCGTATCTTGGAGAGGATCCCAACCGTTTTGGATACTTTTTTGGTTATGTGTTGGATATGGGTGCTGAAATTCAGGTTGTTGTCAAGGTATAGGCCTAGGAATTTGCCCTCATTATGTCTGGTAATTAGAGTGTTTACCTGGAGTTTACCTGGAGAGAGTTTCGGGGGTCAACGCCCCCGCGGCCCGGTCTGTGACCAGGCCTCCTGGTGGATCAGCGCCTGATCAACCAGGCTGTTGCTGCTGGCTGCACGCAAACCAACGTACGAGCCACAGCCCGGCTGATCAGGAACTGTCTTTAGGTGCTTGTCCAGTGCCAGCTTGAAGACTGCCAGGGGTCTGTTGGTAATCCCCCTTATGTGTGCTGGGAGGCAGTTGAACAGTCTCGGGCCCCTGACACTTATTGTATGGTCTCTTAACGTGCTAGTGACACCCCTGCTTTTCATTGGGGGGATGGTGCATCGTCTGCCAAGTCTTTTGCTTTCGTAGTGAGTGATTTTCGTGTGCAAGTTTGGTACTAGTCCCTCTAGGATTTTCCAGGTGTATATAATCATGTATCTCTCCCTCCTGCGTTCCAGGGAATACAGGTTTAGAAACCTCAAGCGCTCCCAGTAATTGAGGTGTTTTATCTCCGTTATGCGCGCCGTGAAAGTTCTCTGTACATTTTCTAGGTCGGCAATTTCACCTGCCTTGAAAGGTGCTGTTAGAGTGCAGCAATATTCCAGCCTAGATAGAACAAGTGACCTGAAGAGTGTCATCATGGGCTTGGCCTCCCTAGTTTTGAAGGTTCTCATTATCCATCCTGTCCATGTTGTCAATCTTAATGTTAATTTGTGCATCTCCTACTCTGCTACCAAACATAATATAGTAGGTTTTGTCAGTGTTAAGCATAAGTTTATTGGCTGTCATCCAAGTCGATATTTTGATCAGCTCCTCGTTAACAATGGTGTTGAGGGTGGCAAGATTATAGGGTGAGAGATGACATAAGTCGTGTCGTCAGCAAAGAGAATGGGTTTCAGGTGTTGGGATACGTTTGGAAGATCATTGATGTATATGAGGAAGAGCAGGGGACCAAGGACACTTCCCTGCGGAACTCCAGTATCAAGTGGCCGTGTTGTTGATGCTGTGTCTTTAATGGTGACATACTGATACCTATTAGTAAGGTAAGATTTGAAATAAGCAAGCGCGTGGCCTCTTATACCATAATGGTCAAGTTTGTGGAGTAGGATGCCGTGGTCTACTGTGTCAAAAGCTTTTTTTAGGTCAATAAAAATTCCTAGTGGATATTCTTTATTTTCCAATGCTGTGTAAAGCAGATCTAGCATTTTTATGATTGCATCATTAGTGCTTTTATTTTTCCTGAATCCAAATTGGCAGGGGTTGAGTATGTTTTGTGCCGTTATAAATGAATATAGTCTCCTGTGCACGAGTTTCTCAAAGATTTTGGATAGCAATGGTAAGTTAGATATTGGCCTATAGTTGTTTAAGTCTGTAGGGTCACCACCTTTATGTATTGGTGTAACCCTTGCCATCTTGAGTAGTTTCGGGAAGGTGCTAGTTTCTAGTGACTTGTTAAAAAATAATGAAATAGCATGCGAAAAGACATGGGCCGCTCGCTTGTACAGTAATGGTGGGACATGAGACAGATTCCCTGAAGGTGGTAGTCTACACTGACAGGTGTTCAGTTACCTTTAAGGGCAGTCAGTGCCTTGATGCTTTTAAAAGGCTCCTGATTCTTGGAATTGGAACTCTCTCACCTTGGATCAAACATTGCCTTTGAATCCGTAATTCCGGGCATTCGAAAACGCACGAAGTGCGTTTCATAACTAAGAACATTACCATGCCAAAACATACTATTAAAAAAATAACACCCGTAAATATATGTATCGTACAGGAAAACTAAATATTTATATTTATCAAACGCTGTATGATTCCTGTGGATTTAGAAGTTAACTATGAATGTGGTAAATTTATATACATTTTTAAAATGTAGATTATATTAAGAAATTTTATTTAGGTACAGATACACATAAACACAGTTACACAAATTATCATACATAGTGACAATTGTGTAAATTACTTAGAATAACCCAAAAAAGTCAGACGAAGTGACAATATAATTGGATTGTTTGATGTTATATTACGTTGTTTTATACTATGTTATGTTGCCTTATATTTTATTATGTGGTTATTTATAATGAAATATTAGATTAATCTCGTATTAAGTGAAAAAATAAAGTAAACATATGAGGGGCGGGGCACTAGTGAATGACGTCAGTGTGACTGACTCTCTTATTGGCATTGTGTCTTACACTACTGGCACTCTCGCTCTTTCCTGGCACTGCCACTCAGCCTCTACAGCAGTACTACAACCTTGAGTGTGTGTGAGTGCCAGGCACCGGCACTCTCCTGGCTCTGCGGTGCCGTGAAAGATAGAAATCAATGAGTTGGTTCTTGCTACACGAGATACTGTTTTGTGCCTTTATTTGTGCTGCTGGGCTCTAGATCCCAGGTTTTGGAGCTGTCCTCCCACTCCTAGGATTGACCTTTGATATACCGCACCCACAAAAACCACCAGTGGTGTACGACCCATAGAGGTTTAGCACTTCCTCACAATTGTAATGTGTGCATCACCATATTGATTTTTTTCTGTTTTCAAGTCTTATTATATTTACGTTGTTTTAATTATTTAACTAAAGCTTTTTATTTGATATATATTTAAACTTACATGAGCTATAAGCATCTTTAATATATATATATATATATATATATATATATAATATATATATATATATATATATATATATATATATATATATATATATATATATATATATATATATATATTAGCACAATTATCAAACATAGTAACATCTATGTAAATTCCCCAGGATAATCCAAACAAAAGTCAAGGTGACTTATTTCCACTGATATCCTTGCAACTTCGGTTATTTACAAAATTACGTAGAATTTAACAAATGGATAATCCATTAAAGTTCAGTACTGTGACTTTTCCAGTGGGAACCTTTGGCTCACACCTAACAAACCAGGGTTTGATCCCTACACAAGTGGCAATGTTGGCTTCTCCTGGGTTACTAACCCTCAAGGTTAATAACACAAACAAAATCTTAAATTGCTGCATCTTGCATATATTAAAGTAAGCAATAAAGGCATAACTAACTAGTGACAGTGAATTCTTACAATAATTCCATTCTTAATGTTATAATTTTTTCATTTCAAGCATCTGTAAAGTAACCTGTAAGTAAGTTTATTCAGGTACACACAAATACTGTTACATATATTATCATACATCTTATTGTGGAAAGGTTTTGCTCTCCAGAAGCTTTGTCAAGCTGTTGCGACAGCTTGTAACAGCTTGATAAAGCTCCTGGATAGTGAAATGTTGCCTCAATAAAATATCACATTAGTTGCATTGTGTCCTTTTACCTAGCAACATATGTGTAGATTACTTAGGATAACCGAAAAAAGTCATTGATTTGTTTCCATTGGAGTCCTCAAATACCCAAACCATAGAATATATTAAGAGGCAGCCCATTTCTTGGGTAGCAATGCTAACCAGTGACCAAGCTAATTTAGCTAACACTGGAACTGCATGCTTAATCTATTTCTAGTATAATTCAGTACACTTGTAGCAAAAACAGCATGCATAATGTCTGTATATTTGGTAGAAGTATAGTTTATTAAATGGATTTTTTTAAATCCATATTTTACCATATTTTTAAAATCTATGACAAGATTTTAAAAATTCATATAATGGTTTGATTTATACAGTACATAAATAAGAATAATGCTAACAAATTAGTCAAAAAAACATATAGATATGGCAAATACAATTACCAAGCATTTTTTGTAAAATAATCTACTCTAAGTCAACCTTCATAAGCTATCTTAAAGTATCCTTTTTTTAGCTTTTATTAGATTGTATTTTGTTATAAATGTTAATTAATTTTAGTTTAAATATTATTACCTACACATAATTAAAAGTTATAAAAGCACTTGAACAAAAATTTCACTATGCCAAAGCTTTTGTTGCTAGTAAATGTTTGTCTTTCTGTGCTTCACACTTCAATATGAATATAATGGTACTAATTGTTCAGAGTGAGCTTTACCATTTTGAGGAGGATTCATGCTAATTTTTCAGATGATAAAACTGCTTGCATGAAATGAAGACTAATGATGCTTTAAGACATTTTTGCCTGTAAGTGTTTTGTTCCTTAATCCCTATAAGGGCATGATCAAGTCTGATCAAATGGCTGGTGGAATTCAAGTGTTGTACACACACATTTAGGTTGTCACTAATGCATGCACAGATGTTTTTGTTGAGATGTTTTCCTAGGCTTTGTATAGTTTCCCCAACCTCCATAAAGAATGATGTTAACCCCTGTATTGACTGGCTCAAGTTTCTAAACTGGTCCTGGTGAGATCTTTGAAGGTTGTTCTGGTTGTATGGACAACTAACATTGTCCTGTGCCAGTACTGTAGTTTGGAAACATTACTGCAGCCAGTAGTAACAGCCTGGTTGATCAGGCTCTGATCCACCAGGAGGCCTGGTCACAGACCGGGCCGCGGGGGCATTGAACCCCGGAACTCTCTCCAGGTAAACTCCAGGGCAACTTGACTGATGGGACGGATTACAACTTTGTTCAAAATGGTGTTAGCACATAGGGAATTGATGATTTGAATGGCTCATTTCTTAGTCTTTAACCCCTTCAGGGTCCAAGGCCCAAATCTGAAGTGGTGCCCCAGTGTCCAAGAATTTTCAAAAAAAAAATTTGTTATTTTTTCTTATGAAATGGTAGAGAATTTTTTTGTGAAGGTAATAAAACAAAAAGTACGAAATTTGATGGAAAATTGACGAAATTATGCTCTCGCAAATTTTGATGTGTCAGCGATATTTACGAATCGGCGATTTTGCCGACTTTGACTCCCATTTTAGGCCAATTACATTATTCCAGTCAACCAAATTCTTAGCTATTTCACTAGTATTACTTCTACTCTATCGATTGAGCACAAGAAATCGCCAAGTCAACTGTTTCAACTATAAATTAAAGTGATCGGAAATTGTTAATTTGGCCAGTTTAACACAAAGTTCAAAATATTCCAATTTCAAAATAGGGTCCAGAATAAACAATGTAGGTATTCCTGGAACTAAACTAACATTTCCTCTGTTCATTAGTTACGTTTTGAGGCTTTACAAATAAATTCCATTTTGATTTTTTATTCACATAATGAGTTTTTATTCACACCAAAAAATAGAAGATTTACTGTTATGCAATACTGTAATAATTGTATAAATATCATCACCATATTTGTGAATGCATATTAGACCCACCAGCTGGCGTGTATTAGACGTGTGAGGTCGTTTGTTTACTCTTGAATATCGGCAAAAATTTAACATTTCTGCTACTTTGAGCTCAGTTTCAAGCCATTTCCAGTGCTAAATCAAAATCATCTCTATTTCTGTAATATGTCTTCCATTCTATCAAATGAGACCAAGAAATCACAAATAGAACTATAAAAAACATACGAAAAAACACTGCAAAGTCGCTGTTTTAATCGAAAAATCATGATTTCAGTTTTTTTCTCATTATACACAGCGTGCTGCAGGATCTGTTTTATGTGGTGCACACATACCACATAGATGTATTCTCTCATATCTAGGCCCAAATGTACCACTCACAGTTTATCAGAGTGAGCTGAGCTCATGACGTAGATCTACGGTTTGGACCCTGAACGTAAAGCCGTAGATCTACGGGACGGACCCTCAAAGGGTTAATAAAAAGAGAGGAAAATGTAGCTCAGTAAAAGTTTCACATATGTATGAGCATTCCTCATCAAGACACTCGGGGCTGCAAGTTGTGTGTGCTCTCAGGAAACATCTAATGAAGATGCCTGTCTAGTCTTAGTATCTTGACTAAAATAAAAGTAAGAAAGATAATTATAGTTTGTAGGCTTCTTGTCATTTTACCTAACTAATCTTCACTTAATGTCAGTTATGCACTGTACTGTATTTTTTAAATAAATTAATGATGTTAGATAGGAACAGGTGGAGGCAAATAGTTTTTATGACTTGATGTGCTGTTGGAGTGTGAGTAAAGTAACATTAGTAAAGGGATTCAGGGAAACTAGTTAGTTGGAATTGAGTCCCAGAGGTGGAAAGTACAGTATCTGCTCTATGAAGGAGGGGTGGAGATATGTTTCGGTATTTAACTGTAGTGTCAGCACGTCTCTGGCTAGACAGTGATGAAGTGAGTGGTAGTGGTGATGCAAGGGCTTCTTTTTTTGGGGGTCACCTTGCCTCAATGGGAAACAGCCGATGTGTTAATAAAAAAAAATGTTGAATGGAAGGTCCTCATTATTTTTATAAACAATGAAGTTTTTAATTGTATAAGTCAGATAGTTCATAATTCATATACCTTGCATAATATGGAACTTAAGTACAGTATTAAGAGATTTTGTTCATTGTCAGAAGTTGATAAAAATTATTGTGTGAGTAGCATTTTTGCTCTGATTTGAGAAGTCTGCCATTCTTGCCACCATAATATTCATTGACTTTCTTTCAGAGAAAGAGTGGATGATGTCTAGCTACCAGGATGACAACAGCATACCTCTGGTGGATGATGACCCATCAGGTAGGTTGTCCACACAGTTACTGTAAGTGACTTTCAATATGCATTACGTTTCCTCTCACTTTGTGGGTTCACGTTGTGAATTAATTTTTATTCAGTTTTTCATTTATATCTCCAGTTTTATAAGCATGATAGACATTTACTGTAGGTAATCAGTGTGATTCACAAGATGCACTGACAATTATTCTTATATGGAATTAAGGGTTGCTGACCTGCTTTAGCTTAGTACATCTCCCATGGCCCTGGGTTGCACCTGCTGGTATATGTGAGGGATAGGATAATTGTATGGATAAAGACAACTACTGTAGTACTCAGCACTTCTGAGAAGACAGCTAGGAAATGAGTGATGGTGAATTTGCTTTCCTTCTTTGCTTCACCTTGCTTTGTTGGCTATATGCCCTCTCTCTCTGGTAAACAGGTACTGTAGATACAGTACTTAGAGCTTTGTCATTTGAAGGTCTCATCCTAGGAAAGAGGATTTAAAAAGTCCCAAAAGAAATCAGCCATTTAACTTGTTTTTTCATTGGGTTATTCTAAATTGCCATAATTCATTACCGAGTTAATAGAATTTTTTTTTATACAGTTTATGATATTCATGATAACACATGATAAACTGTGTATACATTTGTAGTGGCTTGTGGTTGAATATCATTCCACCTAGTATTACTGTTGTTTTGTGCCTTGTAAATGGTGACCAAAAATGGCATAAGAATGACTTGCTTATAATCAGAAAAATAGGAAGAGGGAAGCAACTGCTGAAACTGTGTGTGTTTAAATTCAGTGTATTGTAAGAATAAAGACATGGAACTGTGAGTGCTTTTGAATATGAATGTTACAGTAAAGAACTCTTCCCATGAAATAAGGCATGTACATATTTACCCAAAGGATACCTGAAGGATGTTTTCAGGGGTCAACTCACCAGTGGTCTCATCCTAGACCAGGCCTCCCCTCCTAGTCTGTTATTGGCTTAGCTGACTACATATATGCAATGGTGGGATTTCTTTTATCATTTATCTGGAACCCCCATTGTTGTAGCTTTTCACTTGCACTCGGGAAGTGAGGAGAGGTTTCATTCTTATGTTAATCACTTTGTATTGCTTCATTTTTTTGTCTGTTACATTTCTACAGATATTCTATACATTAATGGCAACAGTGGCTCCAGCCATCATTTCCCAAGAGAAAAAAGGCATATTTTGTTTTATTATTCATTACTGATCCATTATCTTTGTGTTTGCAATGCACATTGACGATAATTGTACTTCACAGTGGTGTTGGATGATGATCGGACAGCAGCCTCTGAAATATCCGACTCCACTCGAGGTCAGAGTTTGGAATCTATTCCATCTGCATACACAAATGGATCCAACAGTCCTCTGCACAACAGTGAGTTTTTTTTTTTCTGTATTCACCATTGCTTATGTTGTGCTGTATATTATTTTAAAAGTATTTTCTATTACTACTTAGGAAAGGGGAAAAACACCATTGGATTCTGGTGGAAGTCTTTAATAATTTTTGTTTTAATCATCATTTTTAGATGAATTTAGTGGTACAATAAGACTGAAAAAAATAATACATAATAAACGTACAGCATATACATTAACCCTTTGAGGGTCCGTGCCATAGATCTACAGCTATACGTTGAGGGTCCGAACTGTAGATCTACGCCATGTGCTCAGCTCACTCTGATAAGCTGTGAGTGGTAAATTTGGGCCTAGATATGAGAGAGTACATCTATGTGGTATGTATGCACCACATAAAACAAATCCTGCAGCACACAGTGCATAATGAGAGAAAAAACTTGAGATCTTAATTTTCGATTAAAACAGCCAGTTTGCAGTGTTTTTTCATATGTTTTTTTATAGTTGTATTTGCGATTTCTTGGTCTCGTTTGATAGAACGGAAGATATATTACAGAAATCGAGATGATTTTGATTGGTTTTAATAATGGAAATGGGTTGAAACTGAGTTCAAAATAGCAGAAATGTTAAATTTTTGCCGATGTTCAAGAGTAAACAAATGATCCCACACGTCTAATACACACCAGCTGGTGGGTCTAATATACATTCACAAATGTGGTGATATTATTTATACAATTATTACAGTATTGCATAACAGTAAATCTTCTATTTTTTGGTTTGAAAAAAAATTCATTGTGTGAATAAAAAATCAAAATGGAATTCATTTGTGAAGCCTGAAAATGTAACTAATGAACAGAGGAAATGTTAGTTTAGTTCCAGAAATGCCTGCATTGTTTATTCTGGACCCTATTTTGAAATTAGAATATTTTGAACTTTGCATTAAATTGTCCAAATTACCATTTTCCGATCACTTTATTTTGTAGTTGAAACAGTTGACATGGCAATTTCTTGTGCTCAGTCAATAGAATAGAAGTAATACTAGTGAAATAACTAAGAATTTGATCGGCTGGAGTAATATAATTGGTCTAAGATGGGAGTCAAAGCCGGCAAAATCGCCGATGCTGACACGTCAAAATTCGTGAGCGCATAATTTCCTCATTTTTCCATCAAATTTCATACTTTTTGTTTTATTACCTTCAGAAAAAGATTCTCCACCATTTCATAAGAAAAAATAACAAAATTATTTTTTGAAAATTCTTGGACACTGGTGCGCACTTTGAAATTTGGCCTTTGTACCCTGAAAGGGTTAATAGGGGATACATTCCTGAGGTTGCCATAAATGATATTTTTTGGATAACACTTTTGACCATAGTATTATAAGGATAATGTTTAAATTTAATGTTCTGTAAAATGTATGCAAGTGACACAAGGTGATTAAAAATTTTTTGCAAATGATGTGGTGTGATATTACAAAATCCTTAAATAAAGTTAGGCATAATCTATGCCCTCCCTCACCTGTCAAGACTTCTGTGATCAGTAGTCTGACTAATCAAGAGCAAGTCAGTCTTGTAATCATCTCTTAACATGTAAATAATCTTATCTCCTGTATTTTGAAGTACTTGTTGTTGCCCTCTTTTTCTTGTAGGAACCCCAAGAATACATACTGTATGTATATTTGCAGGACCATCCCTAGGAATGTATATTCTGTACTGTGAATACATGAGTTATAATAATACCAGTCATGTGTACCAAAGTTGTACTGTACTTTCAAAATTACTTTTCTGAAAAATCTTTATGAAATTCTCTATTTTTTAGAAATGGCCATTGGTAATATTGGAAGCATGGTAGAACACCAGTATCAGTGGATTCGGTTTCCGCAGTATACCATGGCCCGAAAATAACCCTTAATTTTGCTTAATAATGCCCCAGAGCACAACAGTGGTGATGGTGGAAGTTCTCAAAGCCTAAGAGAAACTGTGAAGTGCTTCCCATTAGTGAAAAAATGCTAATTCTCAAGTTAATATAACAAAAAAAAATCATATACTACTAAGGTTGCTAAGATGTACAGCAAGAATGAATCTTCTATTCATGTAGTATAATGATGTACAATGTATTTTAACATTATTGAATGTTAGTAATGTATTATTCTGCGTAATTTATCAATTAAACCCTATCGTAGGTATATGTATACATAAACAAAAATGACTTGCATATAGGGCTTGCTACTATCCGTGGTTTCGGGTATCCACAGTAGCTCTTGGTACGTGTCACCTGTGGATATGGGGGGGACTACTGTATATATAGACATATCTTCTTCCTAAACTTTAAGTAAAGCTGTACATTTTGTTACATTCTTTTGAACCATTTCTGATTGTCTTGAAGTACCCATATACTGTACCTTTATATTCATATATGTATACTATACAAAGATGCAGAAATATACTATAAATTCACTCTAATGCAAAAAATACAAATCCATATACATGACCTCAGAAACTTGTATATGGACAAGCTTAACTAGACTATTGCTTGGTAATACTGTGTAGTTTTGAAGAAAAATTTTGATTCTTCCTTTTTATTACTTATTTTATATGAAGATAATTGTTGTTTGCAGGAACATCTTAACTGTTGTATCTATGCACCTCTGGCAACCTGATGATAGTGTGAATGATGGTGAAAGTGCTTCTTTTTTGGGTTACCCTACCTTGGTGGGAGATGGTCATTGTGTTGGGAAAAAAAAAAAGGAGCTTCCTAGTAGCATTATATTTACAGTATGTACTAATTTGCACAGTTGTTTCAGGCTTTGGGCTAGACATGTCACCTGATGAGCAGGAGGAGAAGGCCCGCCTCATTGCTCAGGTGCTGGAGCTTCAGAACACACTTGATGGTGAGGAGTTTTGAGCACTTACGTTGTACAACTACTAGGCTTTTTAACTTTTTATCAAGAATAGTAAACAGTTTGAACCTCACATTGGCACATTTGTTAATTGCTCACATAATGAATGCAATTGATCATATTTTCAGATATATGCACTTACGAGACAAAAATATATATGCACTTCAGCACTCGTGTAGGTAATTGCACAAGCATGCATTTTTATATATAAATACAGCTCTCCTCACTTAGCGATGTACTCGTTTATCGACGACTTGGACTTGGGACAGGCTCTCTGACCACTATGCATACCTAAATAATGCATATTAGAGCTGATTTCCTCTATTCTGTTTATTTCAGTATACAGTACACTACTGTATGAACATTTAAAAATATACCAGAAATGTTATAAATGGTGCAAAGGTGACATTAAAACAATATCAAAGATGATTGACACAAACCCACTAGTATTATAATATGCTCCTCACTTAGCGACGAATTTGTTTACCGATGAGGTCATAGGAACTGAATTCTGTCATTAAGTGAGGAAAGGCTGTATACACATTATAGTTATTTAATAGCCTTTTTATAATTTGTATTCCTTATCTGTAGTTTCCTATTCATAATTACAGTACATATTACATATTTGTAATTACGAATATGTAAAATGGACTGTAATATGTCTAGTAATTAATTGCTCATTTAATTATTTAAAGTTTCCAGTGGTTGTACTACACATATCAGCAGTTGTATTACACAAACCAGTGGTTGTACACACATCTGTGGTTGCATTACACACATCTGTGGCTGTAGTACATGCATCTGTGGTTGTAGTACACGCACCTGTGGTTGTACACGCACCTGTGATTGTAGTACACGTACCTGTGGTTGTAGTACACACACCTGTGGTTGTAGTACATGCACCTGTGGTTGTGATTGTAGTACATGCACCTATAGTTGTAGTGCACATATCAGTGGTTGTACAATTTACATTAAAATTGTCTTAAAAAATTAGGAACACATCAGGTTTTACCAGCAATACAATGTTGCAAATTTGTAGAATTTGGTCCCAAGGACCAGAAAAAGGGATTTAATTTGATGTGAAGTAAGATAATAGTGTGTTACGGAGTGGTGTTTTTTTTTAGTTCACCTTCATTGGGCACAGGAGAATTAGCCACTCCATGAAAGTCCCTGAGTTGATTGAATGAAGAAATAATAGAAATCTTAATTTGACTCCTGTTTGTTTCTCTGGCAAGTTTTAGCTGTAGTGTATAGTGTAGAGGAAGGAAGAATGTGAGTTTGATTCTTTACATTCTTAAGTCTTTGAGCATGTTTAGCTTTCATGTTGCTGTGTGCATGTGCTATTGAGTCAGTGAAGGATTGAAATATCCTTGTGTAGACATATTTTCCAGCTGAAGTGCATCTGGGTGTGTCTAATATTCACATGTACCTAGATGTGGGCCACTGAACTTGTTTGGTTGTGATACATAATTAGTTTGGTCAGTTGTACGAATATAATGATGTGAATGCGTAATTTGTTCTTTCATGATTTAACCCGTAAATGGTCCAAGCAGATCTACATTCACATGCGTAGTGCTCCAAAAGTAGATCTACTTTTTTTACGTATTTTCAAATATAACAAAAAAAAAAACGTAGATCAAAGTTTTTTTTACACGTTTTCAAATGTAAAAAAAAAAAAATGATGATCTACTTTTTTTACATACTATCAAATGTTGAAAAAGTGTATATATACATTTGGACCGTTTACGGGTTAAGGATGGGGAGGATTTGGGAGGGTATGGGATCTGTGAGGGAGAAATTCATTGTGGGACGTTGAGAAACACTGGCCTAAAGAATTATTTTCTTATTTCTAGGTAAATCTTTCATGGGAATTCAGTAAATAAAAACTTATTTGAAATCAAGTAAATGCATTCTACCTATTCATTTATCATGTATGTTATTGCATTATATAAATTAATTTAATAGTGCCTTTGCTTTCCAAACATGTACAATGAAGTAGTAGCTCTGACTCTAATAGGTTTAATGCATTTTATGTGAATGCAGGTGTATAATAGTGTACAATGATGTTCTACAGATCTCTCTCAGCGTGTTGATAGTGTTAAGGAAGAAAATCTTAAACTTCGCTCTGAAAATCAGGTGCTTGGCCAGTACATAGAGAATCTCATGTCTGCTTCATCAGTGTTTCAATCTACATCACCTAAAACCAAGAAGAAGTGAGTATTAGCTATGTTCAGAAGCTGTCATGAAACAGTACTATGATCACACACTTGAGAAAGGGTACAAATCTCTCAAGCTTGTAGTACATTATATGACATTTCAGATGGCCTCAGATTAATAGTGTGAAATGGCAAAGATTTAAAAAAAAAAAATGGTATTTATATATTGTGGGACTGATTATTTTTACTTAGTTCTACAGCTTAAACATGATTTACTTTTTATATAGATTTTTCTGTTTTATTATCTTTTGAAGCTTTTGTCATGTTAGAGTATTGTCAATCATGTCAATGTGTTTTATTTCATTGTTATCACTCTCAAGTTCTTTTGTATGTTTTAGTTTAATATGAGTTTTCTTGATCAGTTTAGTGAATGTTGATTTTGGATGTTTTTGCTTGACACAACTTCTTTTTGTCATGTTTTTTGTGTTGTGAATTCCTTTGCTGTGTTTGAGTAGTACAACTCTTGTTGTGAGTTCTTTTGTATTGCTTTGGTTTTCTATGAGCTCTTTTCTTATATTTTACTTTGAAGTTAATTCTTTCATAATATTTTGTTTTTTTTTTGAGTTCTTTGTCATATTTAACTTGATGAAAATTTTAATGTCTTTTAGTTTCGTGTAAATATTTTGTTTTACTTTTATCTTAAGTATTTTTTGAAATGTTTTGGGGGGGTTTTCAAATAATTATGGTTCCTTAGCAGTTTAGTAAAACTTTATTGTGTGGTAGTCCAGTTAACTTACTGGTAAATGAAAATAGTGACCATGTGGCTTGCTTGTGACTTAATGGCAACACCATTTGTCAGTTAACAAATATATTACACACCAATTTAAATGACTTCAGTATTTAATGTCTGGTGTTCAATTAATTCTTTTATCACTGGTGCAGTTATCATCCAGATCACACACACAGGAGCGCATACATCCTATGTTTAGGAAGTTGTGTATGTAGAATTGAACCCGTTTGTTTCGTGCATTGAGTTACAAAATATATTTATATCCTAAATTAAATATTTTGAAGGATATTAGGAATACTATTTGAATTTTGGTTTTAGTATCCCAGTTCTTTAATCAAGACATTGAGTACCGATAGTGCCTTGTCACGCTGTGTTTCGAGCATGCTGTATGCTGACAATTTTGGAAAATTTTTAAGAAACTTAAATAATTTTCTAAAGAGGAAAGTTATTACTTTGTTATTATGTTTATGGATGTAGAAAGGTATACTATACCCAACTCTGATAAGCATGAGGATATTAATGAAAATTTTGCAATTTTGTCTCTTCTAGTAGAGTACTGAGTGATACTAGATTTCCTTAGGCATTTGGTGTCAGCTTAATATGCTAGAGGAATTGTTATTTCTCAATATAGTTTTGTAATAATTTGCTGCCTTAAGTATCTGCTAATGGGTTCACTTGAGGATCACTGTTGGCACTCGCAAATAAGACAAAAGACTTATAATAAGACATTGATTTTGAATAATATACTTGAAATGAAAACTTGTACAAGGCCAATGGTCCTATACACTAACTGGTGAGACATATCTTGAAACACCAATATGTAGAGGATGGTGGATCCAAATTCAGTTTTGTGGTAACTGAGCAGGGAGATTGAGGCAAGTCTAGGTAAGATTTTGCCATCTTTTACATAGCTCTGATGAATTAGGCCAGGATTATCCATACCTTGTGGACATGCCTACCACTTTTTGTTAGATCTTGGCTCAGAAAAAATAAAAGGGCACAGTACCATGACTGGAACAATACTCAAATAGCCTGCACTTAGGAGACTGAATCGTGTAATAATGTTTTGGTCTGACTTCGACCATTAACCCTTAAACTGTCCAAGCGTAGATCTACGTTTGCATGCGTAGCACTCCAAACGTAGATCAAAGTTTTATTTTTCATTCCTTCAAATTTGGCACAATAGGCTTGAGTTGCCTAGACATGAAAGAATGGGTCTGTGCACTCAGTGTGTGCACTATTAAAAAAATCTGGGAGCACTTAGTACCTTGTGGGAGCACCAGTTCAATTGAGTGCCAGCTAGAGTAAATAGCGTGGCAAACACCAGGGATTCACTGATGCCATGTCGCATTAACACTCCCATTTTAAGAGAAAAGTAAAAATAGGTTAGATAAATACACAAGTGAGTGTGGGTGGGTATGAGTTGGACCTGGCTAGCTTGTGCTACTAGGTCTGATGTCATGGTCCTTCCTTCAATGGATGTGACCTGACTAGGTGGGTCATTGGTCTAAGCCAGGGGGTAAGGGTGACATGTATCTGCCTTGTATGGGCCAGTAGGCCTGCTGCAGTGTTCCTTCTTTCTTATGTTCTTATGTATTCGACAGGCTGGCCGGCTGGTTTGCTTTGGCTGTCTCTGGCTCTCTCTCTGTCTATATCTCTATCTGTCTATATCTCTGTTTCACATGTACACAAGTACAGTTATTATACAGTGTAAATTACCTAGGATAACCCAAAAATTCCAAGCAAAGATAGATAGACAGACAGACAGATAGACAGAAACATGTTTGTGTGTATCAGTGAAAACAAATAAAGCCAGGGTTCCCCGAGCACCCATTTATCAAATGTCACCGAGCTGATAACAAATGTCATAACATGATTCTTCAAGGAGTGTGATGTACGTATACTCCAGGCAGACAGAAAGACAGATAAGCAGAGACAGACACAGGCAGGCAGAGACAGATAGACAGGCAGATAAATAAACAGAGAGACAAGACATGTTTGTGTGTAACAGTGATAACAAATACAGTGAGGGTTAGCTAGAGCAGTGGGCATTTATCAAATGTCACTGGGCTGTCAACAGTATAGGGATGCCTTTCATAACAACATGCTTCAGGGTATATATCAGGGTATCTAAAACATTGCTGGGATCTATAAATACTTTGTATATTTCTAGACAATAGTAAATAACCCAGGCAGTTGTAAATGTTCACCTGTCAATGTGATTGTGACTATTTGAGCACTATTTCAGTACCTAATATTAGTGTCAGAACAAAGATTGGCTATGAAATTACAAGAACTGTTATAAATTGTAATTATCAGAACATAAAAAATATATACTAAATTAAAATAAAAATGAGAAAAAAAGGTATATCAGCAACACTTCTGCAAGCGGCAGGAGTCGATGTTGCCAACAGGCGAGCATCCAGAGCCAACTTCACAGTCTTATATCTTGGTAAGTACCGACTCTAAATTTTTTTTTAATCCTATAACATGTAGAAAAATGTGCTCTTCATTTTAAAAGAAAAAACATTTTTTTTTTATTTTTCAAAATATTCAGAGCACCACGTAAGTGAACGTAGATCTATGTTTGGACAGTTTAAGGGTCAATTAGTCACACAGACTGTGTGACTAGTTAATGGTGTGTGGTGCACTGAGGCATTTGTGGAGACAATGTAGCCCATGGAGGCAAAACGGGAAATGTATGAGAGTCTAGTGGTACCAGCACTCATATACGGGTGTGAATCATGGGTTGTGAATGTTGCAGTGAGGAGGAGGCTGGAGGCAGTGGGGATGTCGTGTCTGAGGGCAATGTATGGTGTGAATATTATGCAGAGAATTCGTAATTTGGAGATTAGGAGGAGGTGCAGGGTTGCTAAGAATATTATCCAGAGGGCTGTGGAGGGATTGTTGAGTTGGCTTGTACATTTCGAGAGGATGGAGGGTGTATAAATCTGTAATGGACAAAAGGAGGGGAAAGGGTCATCCTAAGAAAGGTTGGAGGAAGTGTGTAAATGAGGTTTTGTGTGCAAGAGACTTGGAACAATAAGTAGTAGGTTAGTAGACAGCAACCACCCAGGAAGGTACTACCGTCCTGCCAAGTGAGTGTAACACGAAAGCCTGTAATTGTTTTACATGATGGTAGGATTTCTGGTGTCCTTTTTTCTGTCTCATAAACATGCAAGATTTCAGGTACGTCTTGCTACTTACACTTAGGTCACACTATACATACATGTGCAAGCATTTATATACACACCCCTCTGGGCTTTCTTCTATTTTCTTTCTAGTTCTTGTTCTTGTTTATTTCCTCTTATCTCCATGGGGAAGTGGAACAGAATTCTTCCTCCGTAAGCCATACGTGTTGTAAGAGGTGACTAAAATGCTGGGAGCAAGGGGCTAGTAACCCCTTCTGTATAAATTACTAAATTTACAAAGAGAAACTTTCGTTTTTGTTTTTGGGTCACCCTGCCTTGGTGGGATACAGCTGGTTTGTTGAAAGAAGAAAGAAAAGACTTTTTTTTTTTTTTTTTTTTTATTCGCCGGTATTCTCCTTGAATGTACAATAGGTGTATGAGAGAGCATGTTAGATAGGAGTGAGTGGAGGCAAGTGGTTTCTATGATTTGACATGCTGTTGAAGTGAGAGCAAAGTAACATTTATGAAGGGATTCAGTGACAACCTGTTAGGCAGAGCTGTGTCCTGGAGGTGAGAAGTACAGTTCCTGCACTCTGATGGGAGGGGTGGGGCAGTTTGGAGGAGGGACATTTGAGCTGTAGCATCAGCACACTTCTGGCAAGACAGTGATAGTGAGTGATGGTGAAAGTGTTTCCTCAGTGAGAGATGACCAGTATGTTAAAAAACAATTATTGCAAAGTTATTGCAGTCCTCTCTTTCATCGAGTAGTAGGTCCTGGCTGCTGCTGATGATAGTCAGTAAGCCTTTGCTGTTCTGTTTTAGCTTGAGAATATATTGATGTAGATATCATTAATCAGGTTTTTTAAATTGTAATTGTATCTTTAAATTTTATTGATTGATGCCAGACATTTGCTTTCAGTTCTTTTATTTATTTATTCTAATGAAACTTGACACACACATTGAGCCTTCACTTTTTTTTTATATATACTTAAGTTCAAATACTATATTGCAGCATTTGTGCCTATTTCTTGTCTTCTGAAAGATGTAAAGTCTTTCAGAAGGCTACTTAAGTTGAGAAAAGTTTCCTTATTAACTAGGGTAAAGGGAAGTTAAAGGGGTTCTGGCTCAACCATTTTTTGACACTGGTGTTATGGGTGGAAAAGAATTTTTGTTGCTGCACAATTTCCTAATGCAAGTACCCACAAGGCAGGAGTTGTCTTGCATCCTCTTTTGTGTTACTACACTGTATGTACATTTGCTTGGAGGTGATGGACTTAATACAACTGGCCTTATTGTTTTGGGCTTGACCTAAAACTGTCCTTGTTGCTCATAGGCTGACATAAAGCTATCATTGTTTCTTTAACACAGAATTTCAAAATAACACTTTTAAATTAGACTCCATTGGTGAAACATTATAGAGTACACAGTATCATAGCACAACATAGTCTAAAAGCAAAACCAGAAGCCTTTTACCTCAGGAATGATCAGTGAGTTTAAACAATAAATGTTGATACCTTATTTTCCAGCATATAAGGTATGCTTTTTTCCCCACAAAAAGCCTTGGAAAATCAACCTGCACCTTATATGCTCAAGGTCAAGGTGAAGGGTAGGATTTGGTTTACACTTTCAGTTGTTTACTGACATTGCATTACAACTGCTTCGAAACATTGTCTTATGTATTCCGGAAAATATGGTACATTTCTAAATGATGCATCATTGATGGCTTTATAATGTAATTCCATCAGGAAATGAGAAACAATGCCCTACTATTGTCATTATGAGTTTACAGTTAAATACAAATACGAACTACAAGATGACAGACTCAAACACATTACAGTTAAACCATAAATCATAAAAAGATATTTCCAACAGGTAGCCAGCTGAGTCTTTGCATGCTCCTGAAAAACCAGGGCATAATCCTGAGGGTGTGAGTACACCATGCTGAAATCCCTTTCTTAACATAATCAGCCTCTTCGTCGTCATTTCCAGGAAATTTGCACTATGCATATGAGAAAGAGCTTTTTAATGGATCTTTTTATTGCTTCATTTACTCCCTCAAGGGAGGTGTCTTCATGTTGGTGAGGGGGCTCTTGATCCAAGGAACTGGACTTGCACTCCTCTCCTTTGGATGGAACCTGAATTTTTCCCATTCCCCAGGCACTATTCGCACCCCCCACCCCCTTGAATTTACTGTTTCCCTCTGATTAAAATAAATAAAATTGCTTCATTTAATCTCTTAAGCTCTGAATTTATAATAAGTATCTACAGTATACTGTATTTGTTACATTAAATGCATTATGTATTTTCATGTATTTTTTAATTACAGAAAAGTTGTACTTTTTCATAAGTAGATCTGAATGATTGTACATGGGTTTAGCACTTTATAAATATAAACATAATTTATATTTTTTTTTTTTTTTTAAGAAATTTAGTTCATGTTCCCTTGTTAGAATATGCATACCTGTGTCTTGTGGTTAGTCTTATGAACTGAGGAATACATTGAAGCTTTCATTGCAGTAAGCAGTGGCGCCAATTTGAAGCTTGAGATGTATGGGAAGTTTCCACAGGTAAATTGACACATTTATTACAATCTAAGCGCTCCACATGTGCTATAATGGCAAGATAGAAAACGTATGACTGTGCAATATGGAGTCATTTATCTTGTCAGAGCATATACAGTATATACATTACCAAGTGATATGTGTAATTTTGGCAGGATAGGCATTTTTGGATATAGTATGTAGTGTTCAAACAGTGTATGATGCATGGGTCATTAATTTCATGGCAGTTAAAAACCAACAAATAAATTTTCAAGTAATGTATTACTCTTGTAAACTGTATTTCATTATTATTATTCTTGTATAAAGATAAGAACACATGTATTCAGAATATGGAGAACCTTTATTTGGTAGACATAATGGAGGGGGTTGTTCAGTCCAGTAGATTGAAGAAGCCCTGGCCAGTGAGATGTCTTCTAAATGAAAGTTCCCCACATGCTGAATGAGTGTCTTGATGCATTTGTCAGCACAGTATAAATTTTATACAATACCCACAAGTTGATGACTAAGACACACATACAGCACTTGGCTATCTTTGAGGGAAAGTTTCACCTACAAAGCAGGCTTTGTCAGTTGAATACAGAGATGATTTCAATGTTGGAGATGGTTGAAGTGAAGAGGCAATTCTGTGGTGGTGATGATTCCCTCGCCATATATAGAAGGTAGTCAGCTGATCATTTTCTATTAAAGCTGAGGGACTTTTCACTTCAAAATTACCTCTCCATTTCCACTGTCTGTAGTATTGTGATTACTTCTGTATTTGACTGATGTACCCAGCCTTTGCAAGTGAAATGTTTTGGTTAAAAAGATATGTATCTAAGTGCTGCATGTATCATATTCATCAGTTTGTCAGTACTAGTTTCCTTGTGGGATATGCATTTTATTTTGTTTCAAAATTTTAAGACCCTAATCATTTTTTTCCATTGTTGCAGAGGATGTTAGAATTAGAAACCTTTGAGACAGAGGGTAGCTACATTAATACATTACGTACTGTTTTATGGTAAATATAAGTAATCTAAATAACCTAATGATAAATAAAGCGAAATCACAATCTGTACAGCACAGATAAATGACTCTATATGATATTCTCGTTTGCAATAATTTTTTAGTTGACTCGATCACAAATGCTTTCTTTATCTTCACTTTGTAAAGTACATCTTACCATATGCCTGTGTTGGTACAGTTACTCACTGCTGGCATCCTCCACACTGGCCTTTGAGCATGTCATATATGTATGTACAGTAACAGGAAAACCACATTTCATAGTTACTAGCTATTGGAGGCTTTTACCAGTAATATACTGTAAGCTGCACCTTATTTCATGCTCATTTACTCATTATTTTTTACTTTCTCTTTTGCTGTAGTTTGTAGATCTTAATTGGATTTTACATACATTGCCTGAAATGATGAGACATAATAGGCTTGTTCTTGAAAATTAATTTATGGAACAAAAATTCATTAAATCAGTGGTATACAGTACCAACAAGTTGATGAATTAGATATGTCTTTTATTTTGAAGATGTTTTGCCATCCAGTGGCTTTTTAAATGTCAAACAGGTGTTACAAGTACAGTGGACCCCCGGTTAACAATATTTTTTCATTCCAGAAGTATGTTCAGGTGCCAGTACTAACCGAATTTGTTCCCATAAGGAATATTGTGAAGTAGATTAGTCCATTTTAGATCCCCAAACATACACATACAAACGCACTTACATAAATACACTTACATAATTGGTCGCATTGGGAGGTGATCATTAAGCGGGGTCCACTGTATTTAATTCATCAGAATAAAATTCACAATACTGTGATGAATAATTCATAACTAACCTATAATTTGGCAATGAAAATTTAAATGGCATTTTAGTCAAGGACTTGAGAATGGTCTAGGATAGATTTAAAAGTAGTCTAAAGTCTCATCTCTAAATGGTTGACAGACTCATTATTTTTCAAAATACTAGTTTTGAAGGGGTATAGATTGGTTAGAATAGAGTATATTTTCTAAGTGATATTTTACCAGAATAATTACTTTCTTTATCTATATTGACAATGTATATTTCTTACTGTGCACTCATGGCTTAAACCTTATAGTTACTGCTTTGTTTTAATTACACTTTTCTTTATCTATTGTGTTATTCTCATCTTTGCATAATGATCATAATTGTTTTTTCCAAAGCAGTAATTTAATTTAATGTAATTGTTATGTTTTAAAATAAGCTTTTTCACTTAGTTAACACTGAGATTTAACTAATATAAATATTTTTCCTTGATATGTTTTTAAAGTTTTTGTGTAAGAATTTGTAAAACTTTCCTCGGTCAAAAAGTATAGAAAAAGACTGCATCTAGCACCTAGCCTTAGATGTGATAAAAAGATGAAGAATGAAAGAAATGGGTTTGACATGCTTATAGAAAGTACTGTAAAGTGGAAACATTGATACAGGTAGCAGGGAATCCTATTAATATGATGTTTCACCCAAGGCTGAGCTTTATCAAATACACAGGAATAAACAAATCCACTCACTGCTTTGTAAGGCAGATGAGCTCCATGAGGTCAGGCTTGGAGAAAGACAGGGGCACTCAGTGGCCATTGTGAGTTTAATGACTAATTTGATTATAATAGCTGGAAAAAGATGTGTCACATGTGAGGTCGTGAAACTATGAGATCAGGTCTAAGTGAGGTCAGGTATTGGTGGACGTAGGGATGGGGGTAAAATGACAAGTTTGTTTATTACACGAGTCATAGACCAAGTAGGCAATAGGTCCAGCCACCGTGTACAATCCACTGTTTTGCTCAGTGGTTTTGGTGAAGTGGATCACTGCCACTTCCAAAGTTCTGCATCTGACGCTGTTGTTCTCATGGTGTAACAGTTGTGCTCTTAAGGAATAAAAGGGCACAAAACTGTAATTGGAACAGTATACAAATAACCCACACATAGGAGATTGAAGCTTACTATAACACTGGTTCGACTTGGACCATTAACTAGTGAGTTGTGTTCTTCCCCAGTCCATAACATAAGAATGAAGGTTGCAGTTGACTACATGTGTAGTTGGTTTCATCCCTCTTGCAGGCATATTTTTGTTCCTGAAGGTGCAAATGAAGGTTTCTGCTGGGTCTTCCTGACATAGAATTTATCATAACCACTACATTGTATACTGTATAGTCCTGTGGTGAAAATAGATCTGGGTTTAGGATGTCAAGTGATCTCTTTGATAGGTTTTGGGCATACTGTGTATATTTTCAGGAATGAGTAATATGTGTCAGGAATTTTAAGTTGGTGAATGTCTCCTCAATATATTCTTGTTCTAAAAGATATTCCTCTCCAAATTCAAGTAGTCGGAGGAGAAATCTGTAACTTCCCACAGGGTTTTGAGGTCATAGTGGGGAAAGTAGTGTATTAGGTCATTCTTATTGAGGTTTTCTATATACAGTATCATGCATTTAAGAGTATCTCCATCCTTGATGAGCAAAACATTGAGAAAAGGATAGACTGGGATAACAGCTGGTCCTCCCCACTGGGAAGACTGCCATCACCATCACCCTGCATCTCTCTAAAGCCAACATGGATATAACAGTCCTTACTACTAAACCTGTAATATAGATCACTAGAAGCAGGAGTATACAATATACAGTGTGGTGGTTGCAATAAATTCTATGATGGGAAGCCAGCGGAGATCTTCAGACACTTCCTCAGGAACATAAATATGCCTGCAGGAGGGATGAATCAAACAGGGAGGAGCACACCTGATAACCATGAGAAAGAGAGGATCAGATACAGAATTTTGGAAGCATTAATGATCCACCTCATTAACCCTTTCAGGGTTGAGAGGCCCTCTCCTAAACTTGTTCTCAGGGTTGAAAATTTTTTTGGAAAAAAAATTATTTTTTCTTATGAAAAGATAGAGAATCTTTTCCCAATCATAATGACACCAGAAGTATGAAATTTGATGGAAAACATACGGAATTATGCTCTCGCGAAGTTAACGGTCTCGATGATGTTTACGCATCGGCAATTTCACCCTCTTTGAGCCCTATTTTCGGCCAATTCCAGTGTACTACTCGACAAAAATCATAGCTATTTCGCTAGAACTCCATTTTTTCTATCGAATGAGTACAAGAAACCACCCATTTACCAATTTCAACTGTCCAATAAAGTGGTCAGAAATTAGCAATTTTGCCAATTTCATACAAATTTCAAAAGGTGCCAATTTCCAAATAGGGTCCAGAATAAACAAGACAGACATTCCTGGCACTAAAATAACATTTTCTCTGTTCATTAGTCACATCCCCAGGCCCCTCTTACATTTCTTTTGCTTTCCACTTTGAATTTTTTATTCTCACAAAAAATAGAAGATTTACTGTTATGCAGACTACTGCATTAGTGTAGAAATGGTGTAAATAATATCGGCGCTCTTGTGAAAGAATATTAGACTTGCCAGTTGATGTGTATTGGATGTATGGCATGATTTGTTTACTTTTGAACTTTGGCAAAAATCTAACATTTCTGCTACTTGGAGCTCAATTTCAAGGAACCTTTCATTGTGAAACCAGTCAAAATCATCTCAATTTCTGTAATATGTCTTCCATTCTATAAACTGAGACCAGGAAAACTAGAATACAACCATAAATACCATACGAAAATAAAGTGCAAAGTTGCTGTTTTAAACCAAAAACACGGTCAAAGTTTTTTTTTTTCTCATTATGCACTGTGTACTGCAGGATTTTTTTTATACTGCACACACTGACCACATAGACCCATTCTTTCATATGTAGGCCTACCAGCTTTCTCTTGCTAGATTTGAAGGCACTAGAATTTAGGCGTACTAGTACGTCAATAACCCTGGTGCGTAAGCTGTACTAGTACATCGGAAACCCTGAAAGGGTTAAGTAAAACAGTGGAATGCATATGTCTGGTGGACCTATTGCACATTTAGTACATGGTTAATATAATAAACATGTTACTTTACTCCCACCAATACCTGACTTCACCTAGACTTGATCTCATAGTTTCATGACCTCATATGTGACCTGTCTTTCTCCAGGCAGGCCTGGCCTCAGTGTTTGCTTGCCATATAAGGTGGCATATTTTCTCATTCCTGTGTAGTACTTGATAAAGTCCAGCCTTGTGTGAAATGTCCCATTACAAGGATTCCTTCCTACCAATGTCTTATTTCCACCTGTCAGTTTTTGCCATTGTCTGTCAAGCATTATCACCATGAATACTGAAGTAATAATTTTGAATAAAGGATTTTGGCATAAATTAGATTTGATGGGTAGGTTGTCATTTCTGTATCATGAATTCTGTGCTCTTTTTGGAAAGATATTTGGGTGGCAAATTTATGGTATGAGTGTTTTCTTCTGGTTAACTTTCATTAGTGGTAAATGGCCAATGTGTTTTTTGTTCATTATTTATGATTTGTGCTTGCTTCATGTGCACAAACCCAAATTGCATGCACATAATCATGTTCATTTTCATACTTTTATGTAGAGAATGTTGTTTTTATTAACTCATAGTTCCAAAAGTACCAAATAGACCTTTAGTTCTAGAGTAATATTTTGTAATGCCAATACCCTTCAAGGAAGGGGCATCCTAGTGATGAAGCGTTCTTCATCGAAGGAATTGTGGTTATCCTCTCCTTTTCTCTCACTTGATTACCTCCCATTCCCTAGGTGCTGTATAACCCTAGTGGGTTTAGTGTTTTACCTTGAATATATTAACAGTAATATAGTATCAGTTGAAATAAACTAATCCTCCACTTAGTTACTGCTTACTGAGTGTTATTTTCTTAGTGATGAAGGCTACACTAGGCATCAGTTTCACATTGTGATTACCTGTCCCCTATTTAGCTACCTCTTGCAGTAGATAGATGATCTGTGCTGCTCATGAGGTGAACAAATAATAACATCCATGCTAGCATACTGGACTGGGATGCAGTGAAAGAGGTACACTCCCTATACAGCCATTATTATTTTTAAGCAAATGTTATGACTCGTTTAGCTTTTTATCTTGGCCACATATCTCTGTGCATTTTACCCTGGCCAGCAAGAGTTGCAGAATGTTATAAAGCGGTAAGAATTACAATGGTGTGAAAACTAAGATTAGGAGCATAGCTTCGGATACAGGTGAATATTTTATGATGGATTGATGCTAGGGCTATCAAAACTGAAAGTGTGTTCCATCATAAAAAAAAAAAGGTAAGTTTATCTCACTCATAATATGGTAAACTCTAAGACGATACGAAAGGGTGTTCCTGTTTTTTGGACTGATCATCAGACTGCCTGTTACACTACTCTCAGCATGTTGATTATTCAGGGGAAGACCTGAAGTTTGTTTTAAAATGCATGAGGAAGGAAGATGGTGCTAGTAATAAGTTACTTGAAAGGTTGAAGTATTACAGATTGCCAAACATTACACTGAGTGGAGAGACTGAATGTTGATACCTAGGCAGCAGCCTCAAGTCAGAATGTGTTGAAGAACTTAGAAGATGGCAGATACACCCCTCGGGAAGACTCCAGTTTTAATATAATATGGCTGTACTTGTAGCTGATGCCATCAGAAACTTGCATATAAAAAGATGAAAACAGGACTCCAAGACTCTCTGTAATCAAGAATCATCTCGCACTATATCTGAGAGGCATTGCTGTAGAGGATTTCCATCTGAAGCTGATGTTAATCTACAGCTCATGAAAAGCGAAGAGTTATGAAGAAATTATGCAAATCAAATCTCACTGACTAGTCATGCCTACAAAAAAAAAGTACAAGTAACAGCAAATATTAGGTTTTTGACTAATTGTGAAAAATGCTGTTGATGGCATCCTTGCTCACAAGTCATTCTTTTAATGCCATGTAATCTCATTCCATTGAGTGACTTTTCTTTTTATGGTATAGTTGTCTTTCTTCCTAAGAACATCACATCATAGTTTTAGCCAGTGAATCAAGTTATTGTAACTGAAAGATTTATTTTTATTTAAAAAATATAAATTGTAAGCTTGGCAAGTTTCCTTACATCCACCGACCCCAGTCATCAGCAAACAGGTGCCTCAGTGTTAGTAGACTGGGATATGATATACCATAAAGATATTACTAAGACGAAGCTTTGAAATGAGCTGAAGTAGTTTAGAGTTTCTTGGCATATAAAATTAAGGAATTCTTTTTTTTTTTTTTTTTAAGCCTTTTTAACATTTTACTGAATTGCAGTTCTTCCCTCCTATTTATTTTTTGTTTTAAAAGTTTATAAAGACCAGCATATAAATCAACTGAATTTGTAACAAAGTTTTATATATTTCCTGTTACATTTTGAATCCTTTTGAGGTTAGTATGTTAAATTGTTCAATTTTGTGTTTATTACTCTTTTGTTAATCTCAATAACATTATCTGTTGTTGTACATACAGTGTAATGTTTTAACAAAAGGCACAATACCGTGACTGGAACAGTACACAAATAACCCGCACATAGAAGAGAGGAGCTTACGACAACATTTCGGTCTGACTTTGACCATTTACAAAGTCACACTGACTTTGTAAATAGTCCAAGTTGGACCGAAATGTCATCGTAAGCTCCTCTCTTCTATGTGTGGGTTATTTGTGTAGTGTAATGTTTTACTCCTTTCTAGCCAGTGGCTTTCTTATTTTAGTTCTGTATATTATTTAGAATTGTTTTGGTTTTATTGCAGAGCCACGTAACCACCTTACTGCTGAGATCAATGGTAAGTCTGGCTCTCCATGATCACCTAATCATTTTTATGTTTATTTCCTCATTTTCACGAGTTATATATTGCTTTCTTTGAGGCTTTAGCTTTAGTGCTTCTATTACAGTAATTTATCATGCTCTGTTTAATATAGAGGCTAATACCAGCATAACAACAGATATCAAGCACCACTTAATGGAGAAGCTAATACTCGACAGTGTAAAACAGATCAGGCCAGCTTTTGCAGTTGATACATGACCTTACAGGAGAATCTCCTCAAAGTTTTCATGTCAATTGTTGTGATATGAGTGGTTTAGAAAACTGACAGGTTGAAGAATGAGATACTTGTGCAACATTTGGAAATTTTTATTGTGGAAACATTTTGCCAGCTAGTGACTTCTTCAGTTCAATACATAGAAGAGCAGTGAAAGACGAAGAGAAGTTTGAGGTCATCAGTCCCTCAGCCTGGAGTCGATGTGTTCAGTCCAGCAGTGATTATTAATGGTTTAAAAGTAAGGAGTTTTTTTTTTCACACTGGCTTTCTCCCACTGAGGTAGTGACTTGACAAAGAAATACTTTAACTGTCACTCATTCAGTCACTGTCTTGCCAGAAGGATACCAGCATCAAAGTTCAGATGACCCTCCAAACTGCAATATTCCCACCATTCCTTCAGAGTGCAGGCACTGTCCTTCCCACCTCCAGGACTCGAGTATGGCTATTTTGTTTTCTTGAATCTCTTCATAAATGTTATCTTGTTCACACTCCAGTAGCACATATAAAACTCCCAGCCTTCATTCACTCCTATCTAACATGCTCTCACAAGCTTGTTGGATGTCCAGGTCCCTAGTACTTAAAACCTCATGTACCTCCCTACCTCCAAGGACAGCCACAGGGCTCAAAACTAATATGGAAAAATGTTGTTAAATAAAAAAAAAAGTATGTAGGTCAGCTAGTCAGCTTTTGATAATGTACACTATTGGAAATAGAAGTATCTCATACATCATGTAGAATAACTTGAATCTTAACAGAATTGATAAATAAGTCAGTATGTTGAAGTTATGTGTCCCACTTACATGGACTAAAAATTTGAATACTGCATAGGAGAATTACTACCATGGGAGATTTAACAAGATCTGCAGAAGAACTATGAATAAAATGCAACAATTCCCTCACTCAAGCCCTTGATTGAGGGACTTGTTATTACCCTTCTCTCCCTCAGATTAAACCTAATTACCTTTTATTCCTTAGGTCCTGCAGTAATAATTACATATGTATAAATTGCATAATCTAAGGATTTTATTAGCCTAATGTTTTTCAATTACAGTACAGTATCTCCCACTTTGTAAATAAGTATCACATTAGCAATCTTCTGCATTTCTGGCACAGCATCAAATTTTTATTTTATTTTATTATTAACACATCGGCTGTTTCCCACCAAGGCAGAGTGGCCCGAAAAAAAGAAAAACTTTGATCATCGTTCACCCCATCACTGTCTTGCCAGAGGCATACCTACACTACAGTTATAAAACTACAGCATTAACACCCCTCTTTCAGAATGCAGACACTGACAGGCCAGACTTGAGTCCGGCCTGCTGGTTTCCCTGAATCCCTTCATAAATGTTACCTTGCTTACACTCCAACAGCACGTCAAGTCCTAAAAACTATTTGTCTCCATTCGCTGTCTAACACGCTCACGCGTGCTTGCTGGAAGTCAAGCCCCTCGCACACAAAACCTCCTTTACCCCTCCCTTCAACCTTACCTAGGCTGACCCCTACCCTGCCTTCCCTCCACTACAGAATTATATACTCTCATTCCATCCTTTCTACACATCCAAACCATCTCAATAACCCCTCCTCAGCCCTCTGGATAATAGTTTTGGTAATCCCACACCTCCTAATCTCCAAACTATGGATTCTCTGCATTATATTGACACCACACATAGTCCTCAGATATGACATCTCCACTGCCTCCAGCCTTCTTGTTGCAACATTCACAACCCATGCCTCACACCCATACAAGAGCATTGGTATAACTATACTGTCATACATTTCCCTCTTTGCTTTCATGGATAAAGTTCTTTGTCTCCACAGACTCCTCAGTGCACTACTTACCTTTTTCCCCCTCATCAATTCTATGATTCACCTCATCCTTCATAGACCCATCTGCTGGCATGTCCACTCCCAAATATATGAACACATTCATCTCCTCCATACTCTGTCCCTCCAGTCTGATATCCAGTCTTCCATTACCTATTTTTTTTGTTATCCTCATCACCTTACTGTTTCCTTTATTCACTTTTAACTGTCTTTTACATACCCTACCAAACTTATCAACCAATCTCTGTAACTTCTGTTCAGAATCTCCCTAAAGCAGTGTCATCAGCAAAGAGCAACTGTGACAACTCAAATTGCAATGATATATCAGTTACTGTTCCAGCTAATGGCTTACTGACTTTCTCCTGCATTCACTGAGAACCATTAAAAATGGCTCATAAGTTGTCCAGTGACTTAGAGTGTTTGGTCTTAGTATCAGCTCGTTCATCCCCTCAGCTGCCAACAACGTAAATTTATGCCAACTGGGAAAATGCCATTGACGTAAGCTTATGCCAGAATTCTTGGACCTATAAAGTGGTTCTGATTGGCCTGCATCAGAGAAAACAGGTCTGCACAGTATCGTATAAAGAAATTCTTTTGCGCAGGGCGTTGTGGGAGCCAGTAAATAGCATTTACGTTTGTCTACAATTTTTTAGTGCTTACATTTGTTTAGTGTGATGGAACAATAAATATAAATGTCATATGAAAACGTATATATAGGTGTGAAACATGTGATCCATAAAAATTAGAAAAAATGGAAAAAATTTAAAGCTGCAACTTTGTTCATGCAGCAGGCACTTGTGTTCCCGTAAAACAGTCACAAATGTCACCTTCAAACCTTCATATCTTCATAAATAATGATCAGATTTTACCCATTGTTGTCTTATTACACTTCTAAAATCACAGAGAATTTTCATTAAGATAAAATTTTACTTTATTAGTGTCCTTGATAATTAATTTCTGGGCCTTAATTTGCAATATTTATTTAAAAACTGACTGGAAATAATTGCTAAAAATGGAATATTTCTTTAACATTATGAGTAAGCTTCGTGAGTTAGTTTTTCCCTGAGTTTTAGGTCTAGATACCTGTACAAAACTTTATGGATTGCTATTAGATTCCTGTGCAGCATTAAGTTCATATGCATTTGCCTTTCCTTGTCCATTTTTTAATTTTGAACATATTGGTCTGTGAAGTGACCCTCTTTTTTCTTATCCATTTATAGTCATCATTGTTTTATATCATCACTTTGAGGAATATAATGTATAATGTGTTGTTTGAGCAGTTTGTACTACTAGAGAAAAGTCACATAAGCTGCCCCTCATCATTTTTTGTTAGGTCTTCCCTGCTATAATTCATAGTCAGATTATCAATGTTATCACTAGGTAAATGGTCCTTAATCCACTGTTGCCATTGTATTAACAGGAAATATTAACCTAATACAGTAGATTTGTGATAGTTTTTCCATGCTCATCAGAACCAGGACAAGTAGGTTATACTGTCCTTTCTTATTGATTCAAGCGTATCTTTTTAATAGACAGTTATAGAGTACCTCTTAGGAAGTCATAATACACTGGATTCCAAAAGTACTATAATCAGATTAACTGAAATTAAGATCCCCCTTAAAGACTACTTCATCGAGTCTAATTATTTAACTGAAATTTATTTACTTTACTTCATTGAGTATGATAACCTTGTTTTGCCCTTGCGTTCACCCTCAACACCTGTGCTGTATCCTTCTCCTCTACCGTGTTAGTGATATGATTGGTAAAAGAGACCAAGAGAGTAGTGCAAATTTTAAAACATTCAGTGACATGTCCTCAGCAGTTTTACAGCAGGTCTGCGTTACTACTGCATTGAATGCAGCCTACTTAAGAAAAATGTTTTCTTTTTTAAGTCTTGCCCCCTCAAGAGGTGCCTTGATGCTGCCAAGGAGCCTATCTTTCCCTTCTTTGGATCAAATGTGAATAACTTCCACTCCCTAGGTGCTATATGACCCTTACAACTTAGTGCTTCCCCTGATTGCAATAAAGTCAAAATTAAATATTGCTTTAATAATATCATGAAGCCATTAATCAAAGAAAATTGCTAAAGTTGTAGGAAATTGCAGTAATTGAGAGCATTTTCAGATAAACTGTATAGCAAGTTTGGCTTTAGATGTTAAGCTACCAGCTGGGCTCAAAGTATTTTGAGGGTCACATTACTTTACATACCACTCTAACCTTATAAATATTGAGAAATCCAGACAGCACAATTAAAAAAATCTAAGGCTTGTTTTTCATTTTGGAGGCAAACAATATACAATTGCATTACAAGAGCTTTGTTGCAGTTGGTATGTGTTGTATTCCACATGTATGGTATAATAAATATTTTTTTTTTTTTAACAAGTCGGCCGTCTGCCACCGAGGCAGGGTGACCTAAAAAGAAAGAAAATCCCCAAAAAGAAAATACTTTCATCATCATTCAACACTTTCACCTCACTCACACATAATCACTGTTTTTGCAGAGGTGCTCAGAATACAACAGTTTAGAAGCATATACATATAAAGATACACAACATATCCCTCCAAGCTGCCAATATCCCAAACCCCTCCTTTAAGAGTGCAGGCATTGTACTTCCCATTTCCAGGACTCAAGTTCGGCTATATAAAAATAACTGGTTTCCCTGAATCCCTTCACTAAATGTTACCCTGCTCACACTCCAACAGCTCGTCAGGTCCCAAATACCATTAGTCTCCATTCACTCCTGTCTAACACGCTCACGCACGCTTGCAGGAAGTCCAAGCCCCTCGCTCACAAAACCTCCTTTACCCCCTCCCTCCAACCTTTTCGAGGACGACCCCTACCCTGCCTTCCTTCCCCTACAGATTATATGTTCTCCATGTCATTTTGCTTTGATCCATTCTCTCTAAATGACCAAACCAC